GCAGGATTGATCCCTAATCTCTGGGGATTGGGTGCTCACATGACACACATTTGATACCTCTAGTGCCAGTGTTTATTTTCTCATCCTTTCTGCAGCATCAGGGACTCTGTCACCCTTAACCCCTCACCCTGTTGGAGAGGGGGACATGTCTATCAGTTCACCACAGAGAAGCTCTGAAGAAGTCATCAAAACCCAGAAACAGGACACTGCAGCCCGTCTCTTTTCCAGGCATAACTGAGGTTTGCACGTCTGAAACAAAGCAATGTCTTGTCTGGACTCACTGACAGCGATCCTTAATACTTAAACCACGCATGCACGCTCACAGACACTGAGATGAGAATCAGGAAATATCAAAACTATCACATCTGTGGGCTGCTTATTGAAAGAGATCGTACTCGCATACAGAGCAACACACACTGCTCAACAATACCCCACACATGCAAGCACTGAGACTGTGAAGCAGCATATGCACCCCTGTCAAGAAGCAGTATGTTATTGGTTTTTACAACTGCTGACAAATTTTCAGTCCACAAAAGCACCGGCCGATTATAGTTACTACCAGCAATGACAAAATAAGAGGCTGCAGCTGATTTTGGGTCTCCAGCCTATGAATAGATAATTGATGGTTTGGTGATCCAGATGCTTTGATCCAGGGGTTGCACAGTGTTTATGGTCGAGCCACAAGATCACAAAATGAAAACGATTGTCATTGTGCTTGGAATTTTGCTATACATAGTCAGACATAAGCTTTTTGTTTGATACCAACCGCACAAGATGTTTAAAACTATGCAAAATTACAAGTTGTTCAATTTCAGTGTAGGAATGTGGAGTATAGGAATTACATGAATGAAAACTAAAACTTTTGACCACATTTGACCAGCATAGCTAAATCAGTGGAGTATTTAAGTCAAATTATCATCTAGTTCATCTCTCCATGTTGTTAGGTTGAAACCTGCAGGTGTCTGGTGTCTGCCTGCAGGTTTCAGTGATGAACTTGTTTGCAAGTGAGTAAAACAGGATATGTCACTGATCTGTCATCAGTTATGTACTTGACTTGAACCTGGACTCAGTAAATGGACCTGAAAAACAAACTGACTTGCAATATATGATTCTCTGACCCGACAGACAACCAGAGTTCTCCACAGACGGCCGAGAGCCAGTGAATGGCGCTAATGCTGCACGCTCAGGATGCACCAGCTGCTCCTGTTTCCAATAAAGTGCGAGGGCGTCAAAGGTCAAAGCTCACAGGTCAGAACCTGCAGAGGGGTGAGGACCCTACATAAATGATGCAACCAAACTGCTCCTTGCCATTTATATATATAGCTAGAGTTGTCGCTACAGAGTACAAGTGGCTCTTCATGGCATGAACGCTCAGTTAGCTGCTGTGATTTATGACCTCAGCTACATGTGACAGGGTTAGACCAGGGACACGAGTGTCAGTATGGCACAAACTGTAGACTCTGTCCACCGGTCTGATGAGAAGATCAAGGCTGTTTGGTTTGGCCATGTGTTGCCTCTGTGAACAGAAGTGGTCCGGGAGATGATCATATTAAAACAGAACATAGTCCTTGCTGCATTGATTGCAGTTTAATTTAGAAGAGAATAATGATCATTGGTGGAATATAACTAAGTACTTTGAGTATTTACATTTTCTGTTGCTTCCACTACATATCAGAGGGACATATTGTACTTGTTATTCTGCTACATTAATCTGACAGTTTACAGATGACAGCTCCACATACAAAAACATATGATGAGCATATAAAATCTGATGTATTGCATTAAACCAGTGAAGCCTGTTTGGCTTCTGACCCCTTACAAGAACCTGTGTGTAGTAGTTTTTTCACATGTTTCAGATGTGTATGAGAGGGTCAATTTCCCTCCAAAGTAAAGTGCTTCTTATACATTAATATATCAGTATTTAAAAAATCTAATATTACATAATAATACAGTACACCACTCAAAGGGCCCATTTTTCTCCAGGAGTACTTTACTTTTACTTTTGATACTTTAAGTGTATTATGCTTTTAATATTTCTGCATTTTAACTAAATTTTCAAAGCTTGAATGTCTTTGAATACTTCCTCCACCCCTCCACCACTACTGCTGCTGCTAATAATAAGAATAATCCATCTCAGTCATAATCCCAGCTGAAGGTGGGCTTTAAAAGTCTTGTTTTAAAATGTGTCCAGTGTTTACTCAAATTATAACTGGCTAATTATGAGTGGAGCTTGACAAGCTGAGTTAGTGTTTGTGGTGCCACTGGTTAGAGTATTAACATTAGACAGCCTGTAAAGGACCTAAAATGACTAAATTATAATGTTAAACATTTAACTATGGTCAAAACTGCATGGGAAGAGTGTGTGTTCAAGATAAAGTTTATGAGGACATCAATCCACTGCCACTGTAACAGCTCTGACCAGTACGCATCAGTCTTTCTCTAATGTTTTATAGTGAGTGCTTTATGAAATCTTAGCTAGCCTATATCAACGTTGATGTAGCCATCACTGTCAGTGCATTGTAGGAAGTTTAGTTGTGTGTTACAGTTATACACTCTATCCTGCTGGTTTACAGCTGCAGTCTTTTAAAATGCTTAAAGTGCTTCTAATAAAGATCCCTCCTTGTAATTTTACCAACCAAACATTGGTGTTCACTGTCTTTTATTCCAAATAATGTATCACACTGGATTAATAAACACACCCAACGATAATAAACTGCATTAAAGTTCAACTGCATTTCATGGTGCAGTGGGTGACTGAACTTTTAATCCAACCTAAAAGTGAGACAAAAGTCAAGGGTAGTTCATCAAACAAACAATGTTAAATTTCTTCAACCACAGTTTTTTATGTCTACTCTTTTACACCTGTTATCTACCAGTGAGAAATAGAAATTACAGTAGAAGCTACTAAGAGCAGGTTCAACTTCAGCTGGAATCATCTGATTTGATTTAAATCTAGCGAGCTGGCTGCAGACAGCTTAAGAAAGTTTTCATTATAGAAGAAATACCCAATCTGATACCAGAGCCATAACAGAACCAGACTGCCATGGTAATGAGTGAAATACAGAAATAAGTCAAACAGACAACATCTCTTCAGAGTATTCAGCTATCATACATGTCCATCTATCCGAGTTAGGAAAATATGATGCTGTGTGCCCTCAAACTCAGGCAGGGTCATCCGTTCTTTTCACAAAGGCCTCACCATCAGATCAAATTCCTCCTTTATACACACAAGCCGGTGTTACAGCCACGAGAGTCACATCCGAAACAAACTAACCAGGTGAGACCCCTGGTCCTGCCCACTCTGGCATAAATCTCTTTATGCTTCTTCAGCTTTCAAGCCAATCAAAGAAAAAAAAATATTCAGGCTTAGTGAAATAACTTGGAGTTGAACCATTTTGCCTCATATCTTGAATGACACAGGGGTTATGTAGGTGACGAGTGTGAAAGCAATCATTTACAAGCTACTGTTGCAAATGCATATCCGTATAGAAACACAAGTTGTGCTTATTTAATGCATTTAGCCTCACAAACAACTCCATTCAGGCTGCACTTTAAGATTATATTCAGCATGGATTAATCTGTCAATTATTTTACATATACAAGAGATATCTTATTGACTTATATGACAAAAACCTGCAGCAAATCCTCACAAATGAAAACAATGGAGCCAGCAAATGTTTTGGCATTTTTACTTGGAAAAATTGTTTGAAATTATAAATCCATTATCAAAGAAGTTGTCAATTCATTATCTTCCAATCAACTAATCAATCAAATGACAAATTGTTACAGTGCTAAACTTCAAATACAGCATGACTGATCATGGCCTGCCAGAATAAATGCAGGATATCACGACTTGTTGTGGCTCAAAATAAGTGTAAAAGTATAAAGCTTCCTAACAAATGAACTGCTCACTTATGGAGAAGCTGATCTGGGGGAAACATCTATCCTCATATCATTTTTACAGCTTGACCAAAGGGTCACATCAGTCTGTGATCTGCAGTAAAAGTAAGTTCATGTCCATGAATTGCTGGACCATTAAGTGTGAAGTAATAATATGAACTTACAGTGCCCTGAAAGTGTAATAATATTGGGTTACGGGACTTCATAATACATTGGTGGATTAATAAAATGCAACACATCTCTATAGGCGTCATGCATTTCTTGTGTATTACAGTATTTGAGCATGATTTGTGTTCATTAATTTTACAGGGATAATAAATTATGTGTGAAAAGGTTTTTGGGGCTTTTATTATCACTTTTCAAAATCCACAATTGCCTTTCCTCTGTGTGGTCATGGCACTCTCTTAGTTTAATATTTCAAGTTTAGGGGAACTTTAAATGTCAGTGACACTGGCTAGGCTTTTGGCGGCTTAATTTTACTTTAGGATATGTTTACCTTCTGTGAGTTTCACCACAGCTCATCAAATCCATCCCAAATATGATTCTATGTGTCTCTGTAACACGAATTTTCACTGTTTTATTGTATTTTCATAAACTGATGACAATATAACCGTTTAGCATCCTTGCAAATATTAAATCCCAACTCATTATAGCTACACAACAACTTGGAACTGGAACTAGACTTTATCTATTAGACTGCATATACCAAAATACAGAAGGAGCGCCTTCATTTGGCGTAACGAAACAACTCTGACATCGCTATGCTTTCGATGAACAAGGCGGGGGGGGCAGGCACCAAAGGGGGGGAAAAAAAAAAAGTTTCAGTTTTTTTGGGTTCAGTAGCAGCACGTGGAGAAAGGAGTGGTCTGGGACTGGAATAATGGAACCTGGGAGACAGAATGGGAGGGAAACGGGGCTCAGATTTCAGCCTGACAGGGGGTAAGGGGCCGGGCTGATATTTGGGAATATACGAAGATTCATTGAAGGCAACGGGGACATAAAACTACAGCGTCTGGCCTGAAGCGGTCGGTGCTGAGTTTCTGCTGCAGGTCCGGGTCCTGCCGCTGGATTCCCCCATCGTTTTTTTTTTTGGAAAGGGTGAATGTCGAATGGTTCGGCTTTTGTAACTGGGGACACACACTAAAAACTGAGAGAAGCCAACGCTCCCTTCGCACCCTTCTTTCTCCCTCAAGGGCCCTGCATGTCTAATATTTAGACATGTTCAGCTTTATGGATTCCAGGACTGTACTGCTACTTGTAGCAACCCAAGTCTGTCTATTAGCCGTTGTGAGATGTCAGGAGGAGGACGACCGTAAGTGACCGTTTTTATTTTTCTCAGAGCTTTAATGAAGAAAAGCTTAAATTGTCATAAGGTGCATATGGAAAGCGAAAGTTCAAATATGTTCATCTATAAGCAATTTGGAAAAGTTTTGAGGCTGTTCTGGTGCCTGCAGTGATTTTGTCATCTCCCTCGCAACTTTTACGCACAGAAAGTTCATTCTTGTTTGGGTTCTCTGTTGCAGGTAAAGTTATTTTTTTGATTGACGATAGCTGTGCACCGCCTGTCTACCAAAAGTACTGATATTACTGTATCTAGGAGCTGTGACAAAACTCAGTATATCAGAGCTGTGGACGTGCGTAAAAGTGATGGAATGGATGGAGGGATGTGGGACGTTTACGCGAAATAAGGCGCACAAAGCTGAATTTGTTTTCTTGGTAATGTAGTTATTCGGGTACTTATGTTAACCGCAGTATTTTTTTCCCCCCATTCTTGTCAAAGTTTACATTCTCAGTTACATTTTGGAAAGCGGAGATCACTAGATTCAGATTTTGATCCACTACAGTGGTGCTCAATGCCTCACCCGACCCCCCCTTTCTTTCCTAAATTAAGCTGCCAGACACCTGTGGGTGCTTTAGGGGCCTTGACAAGCTCTCCTTTTAACTGCAGATTCACTTAATATAGAGTGTGAGAGGGGGGGGAGGGGATGGGCGAAAAGTGAAAGGTGGTCAGGCTCAAGGGCTTTTGGTGAAAAGTGTTCACATTCCATTGCTGTCAGAGGGCATCCAGGCAGATCCTGGCTTGTTGAGGCGGAAAGGTGGACTAAAAATCTAAATTTCCATAAAAACACTCCATTAAGAATCAAATGGCCCTGCTATTATTGTCCATACCTGCAGACTTTCTTCTGTCTCTGCATTTTTTTTTTTTTTTTTAAATTATATCGGAGTGGGATTATTCATCATCACTATTGATTTTAGTATCCGCAAGAGACGTGAGAGTTAAGGTATGCCAGCAGATTTGGGGCCAGAAATAATGTTCCATATGATTTCAGGGTTTCCATCTGCTTAAAAGATTACCCATAAGCTGTGACAGTCAGCCCAGAGAGAGACAGAGCCAGGGTGCTAGAGAGAGGTGATTGGAAAAATATAAGACAGGGACTTTTTTTATTGTAATACTGAGAAGTGCAGTCTTCTCAGTATACAATAAGTCAGGTTTACGGAGCTTTTAAAGCAAAGAAAAGGTGTTTTTTCAAGAGGAATGTGAAAAAAAGGGGGAAAATGCTCATGCCAAAGCAACTGCAAGTCTCAGGTTACTCATTCTGAGATGTAGGCCCCTGGATATAATGAAAGCCCTTTCCTCTGCGTTAACTGGTGGCAGAAATTTTTTCTGGGAGACGCTCAAGTGGTAAAGAGGTCTGATTGTGACCTCAGCACAGCAGGCGCAATGGCCCAGAGAGGACAGGGGTCAGTTGTTCAGCTCTCAGTTTTGAGGCCACTGACTGACCTGTACATGCAGGTGAGGAGCTAATCAGACAGGGGTTAAAGCTCGATCGAGGCCTAAAAGTTACTACACCTGGGTTCACTTTACAATTTTCATTGTTCATTTTACCTCCCTGGAAAACAGTACTTCTGCCAACACATGGGAGAGGAGACTTAGAAATTATCCTCAGTGACGAAAAGCCAGCTTTCTATCAGCTCTCCCGCAGATAGAGGAGCCCTTGTCCCAGAATATCTCATATCAGAAGAATCTTTCATACCCGAGTCAGTGAAAGGACAGGTGCAGGCCTTTGATAGTACATCCAGGCCTGTAAAACTAAATGTCAAAACCACAAGGTATGTGCATGAAAGCTGACCATTTTCTTTTTCCTGACGTGCTGGAACTGGCATCTGACACAGCTATGGCTTCCAGATGGGGTTTAAAATGTGCCCCGTGTTTATACAAGGCAATAGTTTGTGAATTGCCCACTCTGTCCCTTTCCAGAAAGACCTCATTCATTGCTGCTGAGGTCCGTTAGGTTACCTAGACTTAAGCAGCGCTCAAAGGTAAATATAGCTACTGTACTTGCCCCTTCTCCTCTCACCCTCTCTGCACCCTGAGGCCTTTCTTTTGATACGTCAGACACTTTCACCCCGTGGTGCATGGTCAGTGGCTCTAATCAGAGCATTTCTTTGAGCAAGTGTTTGGTCCTCTGTTGACTATTGACTAAGCTGCCAGACTGTAAAATGAACTGGAATATGGCTAATTACCTATGTCTATTGTTAACTTTTCTTGAGTGCTGTACTTTAGACTGCGTACAGTACCTGTATTGAAACATGCCCCACCTCCATCACATTACTCTATTTGCTCTATTTACCAAGCTGTGGTCTGTAAAAAAAAAAATCCAAACATTTTTCATTTACTGAATGCAAAGTCTGTCTGCTTTGCAGTAAATTAGGGTGTCTCCCGCAATGTAAACGAGCCCTATATTTAACTTGTTGAGGAATTTGGGCACATGGTCTCCAGCTCCTGTGAAGTTATTGGAGGTTTCCTGCTGGTCTTACCCAGCTTCATTGTGAATCTGTGGCGTTACACTACCACCATGTGGCTACTTTAGATATTGCACGTACTGGTCAATAACTGGACTCAGTGTTGGTAATTCATTGATGTAATGATGAGATTTTTTGTTTATTTTTAAGGTTAGTTTTGGGACCTTGACGCGGCACAATATTTTTTATTTGTTGAAATTGTGCTGATAAGGAAATATCTATTGATAAAATTGTTCATCAGTGGGTGGGAGATCAGCTGTAAAGAGCCAGATGACAAGAGCTCAAGTGCTTTTGTTGCATCTGCCCTGCTGACGTCCCACTGAACAATGCAGTTCATCCCAACCAGCTTCAGTCACTCTGGTCTGTAGCTGACCTTATGCTTTGCTTAGACATGTTCTCACAAGGATCAATGAAGTATCAAATGACTTTCCTATTAAGCAAACAAAAATGTTTGGTGGGTTAGTTTTTCATTTTGTCTTTTTTGTATTAACACTTTGGACCTGTTATTGTACTGCATATGCGTTTCCCACCTCAACAAAACATTTGGTTTCCTTCCTATCTCAAGCATATCTTATGACTTACAGTAAATACTATACTTGTTTATGAGTTACATATTGCAGTGACTGCTATTCACACCTGACGCATAATCTTCTTTTTCCTCCCACCATCTACCTGCCTGGGCCTCTGTGTGTCCCTTGCTATGATCGCACACACAGAGGAGGATGCTTTTAGCTGTTTACAGGACGGACAACGCTATAGCGACAAGGACGTATGGAAACCAGAGCCTTGTCGCATCTGTGTGTGTGACACTGGAACCGTCCTGTGTGATGAAATTGTCTGCGAGGAGCTAAAAGACTGCCCCAAACCTGAAATCCCATTTGGAGAGTGTTGCCCCATCTGCGCAGCTGACACATCTACGCCCATTGGTTGTAATTTATTTATCTCACACCTCTCATAAATAAATTACTGTACAACATCATGTTGTTTATTTTGGGGAGAAAATGAAGCATGGACAGTTTAGTATCAATCAAAAGTTGGCCAAGTGCAGTTTAACCTTTATAAATCAGGCCTCTGCTGTATGTCACCCTTTGATTTGAAAACTGTTCTATCCCCAAAGCAAACAAATGATAAGAAATAAACAACAGTGACACATCTGAGATTTCGTTGAAATGCTACCTCATCGCCTTTTTTCTATAGCTGGCTCACCTTGGCCCCATCTTGTTTGAATACTCTGTCCTTCCCTGAGTATCATGAAAACATGTGGCAGCCATTAAGGAAATACCTCAGTCAAGCAGACACGGCCTCGCATTTCTACTCTATATCCTCTCTGTGGATTTCTGCAGATCTGATGGCAAGAAAAAAAAAAAAAAAAAAAAAAAAAAAAACGACTGAGGGTTGACACTTGACTGAGGGTTGAGGCTTTTTGAAGGAGTTATTTGCCACTTTTGAAACTACCATTTGCCTCCTGTTAAACAGGGAGCATTTTGGTCAGCTTTGGAAATGTTGACAAATTTGGTTGAGGAGCATGAATGAAATCAGAAGTGTCACTGTTTGCAATGCATGCTAATTGAATTAAAATGCTTTATACAATACTTATCCTCCATTCAAGGCAAAGCTAAGTGCTATAGTAAGAAGTATGTAACAAGTAAAGTATCATTTCAAGTTATCAATCACCTAAAACCCGGGCTGGCTATCAACTCTCAATACAACAGGAATTTGTCCAGGTGACAGATTATCTAACACCGTCAGGTACATAAAGTTGGCATTGATTGTCAGATCAAATATGTAATGTTTACTTATTCTTGAAACAGATTTCAATCAAAATTGAAAGATTTTAGACTATTTTACCGTGTATGTCTTATGGCTACTTGTATTTAGACAACATTTAATATTTGAGAAGTTTGGCTTGTTTTTTGCTACAAATCAGGAGCATGCTGTTTTGGAATTAGTACATAAAAGTGGGTGTCATATTGGCACTTAACACCAAATATTTTGAAAAAAATAAATCCATTTTACTTCATTTCCCTACCTACAAAGTGTGCAAACTCATAATGGACCAATATTGCTACCTAACAATGCTCATTACAATGCTTTGAAATATAGAAAAACAAAAATCCAGCTCTGGCTAACAATACAGTTTAATATTGTAATGAAAACATGTAGTTTACACAGGCTCTTCCAATGCTTTTGCTTCCTATGAGTCTCTTTTACTCGCAGCTGCTTTGCTTTTGCTTTGAGCTCTTAAGATGGTGATTCAGCCAACACTTTTTCAATCCTGATGGGCTCTTTGGGTACAACAAGTGTGATTTGGTGGTGGTCTTTAGAGTAGTTTAATTTAGGAAAGTACAACTGGTTAAAAGCATGTACAGACTTTCAGGGCTTCTGGGAAATATTGTGCAACCCTCCTCGATTGTTTCTGTATAAGCCAGTCACTAACCACAATCTGTTTTTCCCCTCTACCCCTCCCGACCACATAACAGGAGTACCTGGAGCTAAGGTGAGACTATTGTGGGATATTAAGACACTGTGTGTGTGTGTACGTGTGCGTACGTGTGCGTTTGTTTATGGATTAGTCTGCGTATGTGATCTTGAGGCTGTACGTGTGTGTTTGTGTGTGTCTGTGAAATGAAGCTCTCCAGCACCTGCAATTAAATCAGTATCTGTCCCAGACACAGATATCAGTGCTGCGGGGGGGGGGGGCTGTAGTTTATGGATTCAACGAGACTTTGATGTGAAAAAGCTTTGCCAGATGGATTATAGTTATTTCCTGCCCCACACTGTGTGCCATATTTATGTGTCTGATGATACTGTAGGGGATACTTATTTTTCAACATTTGGCTGTTGACCAATTTCCTGATAAAACTGCAAGTTTTCCATTGGAAGTACTTTTAAAATTATGTGGGTGAGAAAAGATCAAAAATGTTGAACACAATTTTGTTGTCCTAATGCTAATTGCTGCTTTATTTCTTCAATATCAGGGTCAGAAAGGTGAACCTGGAGACATTACTGATGTAAGTTGACACCAAACAACCCCCTTTACTGAAAATACAACTTAACCATTCTTTTAATTTGAAAATGCTCATTAGTGAAATGGTTTAAGTGATAGAGATCTCACATCTTCAGCCTCACATGAAACACTTACAACCCTTATTTGTAGCCACTGGTGAAGCAAGTATTCAGAAAAAAGTAACAATACTGCAATATAAAGAGACACCACTATAAGTAACAGTCAATGCAATGGAAAGTATGTAAGTATTTTAACAAAAGTCATAGTAGAAATTCTGAAAAATGGGCCCTGTGAGTCTTATATTATTATATACTACTAGATTATTATTACTGATGCATCAATGTGTAAGTAGCACTTTACTGTTAGGTTGAACTATTTTATTTTAAGTAGGTTAATCTATACGAGTGCATCACATTTTATAAACCAATTTTAATCTGCAATATTACTTCAGATATCTGATAAATGTGTTGGAGTAAAAAGTACATTTTCCTCTGAAATTTTAGTGGAGTAGGAGCAGGATGGAATGGAAGTATCTCAAAATACTTGAATAAATGTACTTAGTTACATTCCCTCACTGTTGGTAGCGCACTATTCAGGACTGTGGATGCTTGTAATAGTTTTTACTAAATAAAGAAACAAGTAACGTAATGCAGTATTATGAAATAACTGAAGAATTCAAAGACTGTATGCTGCCAGTCTACAAAGGAAAGAAAGAGAGAGAGGAGGCAGGTCTGTTAGCCCACCCATCAGGAAGACAGCCAAGCACAATAACTCCTCCATACAATCCTCCATAAAGATCTTCATAGGCCAGGGAGCGAGAGAGAGAGAGAGAGAGAGAAAGAGAGAGAGAGGGAAAACTCCCTGCTGCTGCAGAGCTGCACCTGGAAATGCTTTACCCATTTGAGGGAACACAAGTTCATGGCAGGAAATAAGAAGGCATTGTTTATTGTATGTTTCTGATAATGCTTTGCCTGAAGAGATTAGCAATTAACAGGTCTGCTCTGATGGGAGCCAGATAATGTTTCCCTTCATGTCCAGGGAGATCTAAACCTCACATGTGTAAATACATCTGCTAAATGTACGTTTTAGTAATGGGCGTAAATTTCAAGAGGATTCAGTTTGAGCACTCCGACACGCCTTCATATTCTGCACTTAAATGACTTCAAAGATTGAGGGTAACATTTTAGCAAAGATAGTCAACATTGTATAATGCAGATATCTTTATATTTTCTCTATTTTCTTCCCTTGTGCAGGTTGTAGGACCAAGAGGACCTGCTGGCCCTATGGTATGCACCTATTTCTGTATTTGTCCATTTTTTCCTTAGAAAGCTTTTAAAACTCGCTGTGTGTAGAGAGTATTCTGTACTACCTCTATCCATGCAAGACAGAAAGAGACTGCCAGACTCCCAAGATCTGAAATTTAACACAAGTTGCATCTGTCTCTTTAACTCACATACTGAGATCACACCTGAAGTTACTAATTCACTGTCTCCTGTTCACCCAGGGCCCACCAGGAGAGCAAGGACCCCGTGGATCAAGAGGAGAGAAGGGAGAGAAGGTCAGTTTGAAAAGTGTTTCGCCCTGACCCTTAAAAAAAAAAAAAAAAAAAAGAAAAAGAAAAAGAAAACTCTCTCCCTTAAGAAGTACAGTGCGTCCTATTGAATGTGATAGCTTTAGGTCTTTGGGGGCGGTGGTGGAGGTTGGGTGGGGGTGGGGCTACCTGCTATAGCTTGCAGGTTTGCAGAATGGCAGCCTTTGACTGAGCAGCTCAGTCTAACTAGTCATGTGTCGTTTCCATTAGGCTGTGTGGTCTGGGTTGTTTAACAGATGTGGGACTGTCGGGTTCTCATAATGTAAACCTCCGCTTCTCTCGGAGGCCTCTCACTCAGTCAATCAGTCAGTGTGGGAAATCAGCGCCGCCGCACTCGCCTGGCTTTGATCATCACATTAATGCAACAGCACTTGTACGTGATAATGGCTGCAGGCGCTGAGTTTATGTCGTGTGCTCGTCTTGTTTATGTAGATTTAAGCACAAGGTGGACTGAGTTTTGGCTAGCAGAGGTTAAGTACACATTCTTTGTTCAGGATCCCCTTGCAGGGTAATTTGTCACTACATGCACAGAGGTATGCCAGGTTGTCTGATTTGGGCTGATAAATCTTCAACATGCACAACAGCCCTGCAGGAAATAAATCTGTATTTTGTATTGAATTGTATAACTTGCAATTGGTATAAAAGTTTAACCTGTTTCATCAGCTTTTTTTTTTTTTAACCTTTAAATGTCCAGCGTGGTTGAGTTCATAAAGATAAACTTCAGTCCTGATGGATCACTGTTACTGGTGTATCAGGTGTAGTCGAGTTCCCTCATGTAGAGCGTCAGTGCAGTTTGGAGTAGGTTCAACTGAACATTAGGCCTCTGTCAACAGTATCTGACAAATGTAGTCCAGCAGAGTATCGTCTGCCAGCAACTGTGTAATAATTTATCCAAAGTACTTCTGAGTTCAAGTGTTGGCACACAGGCCGAAAATGAATCAATGCTGAGTTGTAACAATTATCATTTAACACTTTTTCTGTACTCATATATGCTTGGAAAGTCCTTGTTACTTGGCTAGGTGTATTTATAGTTGACATAACGATAAGATCAAAACAGGAGGATTTTTAATCAAGGAGGTGTAATATTCATTTGCATTAGATTTCAAATAGGTGTCTTTCTTTAGTTGTCAAAAAGGGACATTGCATAAGAATATAATTAAGATTAAGATATTTTATTTTTAATGTAAAAATACCAAAACTTCTCTGGATGCAGCTTCTCAAATGTGAATATTTGTTTTTTTCTTAGTTTTCTATAATAGAAAATTAATATTTTTCAGTTTTGGACTGTTGGTCGGACAAAGACATTTGAATTTGGAAATTGTGATAGGCACTTTTTGCAATTTTCTCACATTTTTTTGGACTAAATGATAAATTTAAAGATTAAGTGATAATGAAAACAATGTGCAGTGGTCATCTGCCATGAGTCACTACAAATAACAAGTACTCATTATGAAACTACCTTAGGTCTTTTCCTTTTTATAGATTTTTTGTTTATTTATTTATCTATTTCAGGGAACCCCTGGTCCCCGTGGCAGAGATGGTGAGCCTGGCACCCCCGGAAACCCCGGCCCCCCTGGACCTCCAGGACCTAATGGACCCCCTGGCCTCGGCGGAGTAAGTATCTCATGACAAGTAGGGGTGGCGAACTGGCATTCACTGCAGACGCAGGAGCTGACAGGTCGAACACTGACGCAGGGCCAAGAGCGGGTTCACTTTGAATGGGTGGAATAAGCAGAGAGAATGGTAAAATGGAGCAGGGAAGAATTCAAGAGCACAAAAGATGTGGGAAACTGCTGGCAATGGGAGGAGGCCGAAAGACAACAGCGAGTGGATGCAGAGAGAGAGAATAGATCGAATGCCTCTCATTCTTCGCAGGAGAAAAGAAGGGAGGAGGTGGACTGAGGGGAGGGGAGGTGGAAGGGCAGGAGGTAGTATGATAGACCCAGGGAGGGGAAGGGGAAAGAGCCTTTCTTGGAGGGGGGAGACAAGGAGAGTCTTTGTGAAGGAGAGAGAGATGAAAACTGTTCACATGCCCTCTGTCTCTCCTCTGTCTGCATCAGGATTCACATAATAAGCTCTGCTGCTGACAGCCCCTATCCTGCCAAAGTGACACCGCACCCTCCAAACTCTGCACATCAATGACAACACATTTAACAATACAAGATACTTCAATTTTGCATCATGGACACTGAAAGAGCAAAAGCTCAGTTTTAAAGTTGATGCAATTTGATTTTTTTTCATATTCATTTTTGTTTTCTTTTCAGTCTATTCCAAACAGATGCTTTTTACCCTGCAGTCAATGTGACATCAGATGACTTTAAAAGCTTCAGTTCACTAATTTTCTTTTTGTCTTTTTCAGAACTTTGCTGCTCAGATGGCTGGTGGCTTTGACGAGAAGGCTGGCGGCGCACAGATGGGTGTGATGCAAGGACCAATGGTGAGCGAGTGATGATGAGAGCTGCTGCCACTCCTGTGTTTTTTGGGTTTTTTTTTGTTTTTTGTTTTTTTTTTTTTTTTTTTTAAACAGTCAGCTGCTTATGAATCTGCTAGGATGCAACAGTTTGAGCGGTCAGGAGCAAAGCCGAGTGCTTAGACAGACTTGTCTCTCCACATGAAGACCCGGGTTAAAATTCAGCATCAGACAACATCTGCAACATCTCAAGGTGTTGGAGTAAAATGCTGAATGCCAACCAGCTCCAGTGGGGTTTTTTTTTCTTTTTTTCTGTGGCTGATTCTGCACTTTGACCTTTGTGGACTTCCTTAAGTGAACCAGAGAAGCATCACATGGTTATCAAATTTGTAAACTACGAGATGGACACATCATCACCATTGTTCGTCACCAGAAGAGGAGATACCCATGTAGGATTTAAAATCATCAAGGCTGGGAGGAAACTACGCAGACTACCGATTTAAGACTAGTCCAACTGATATATAGCCTTGCATATGTTGTAAAAATGGTTTTGAGAGAAACGTCAGAGATAAAAGTGAGAAGTTTCCCAAGTGCTGAAGAAAATAATTCTGCGTCCTGAAGACAAATAAACACACATGGAGCAACAAGGGGTAATTTTATAAATTGAGGAAACAGCCATTGATTGTCATTATACTCCAAACCCCTGAAAAACCACTGCTGCCGTCGGTTAGCTGGCATGGCAGCCTGCCTGAGATGGAGTGAGGAGCACACTGGGAGCTATTTTGGTTTAGAGAGCCACAGAGCGGCTTGGCAGTGTCTCAGCCCAGCAGAGGTTTGAGACACCAGGAGGGGTGGATGGTGTGTTTGTGTGGGAGGGGGGGCGTCAGCGGCTGGAGTCAATCAGATCCCCACAGCTAGCAGCAGTGTGTGTGGCTGCACTCCTACTGACTGTCCTTCCACATGTCTGACAGCGCACCACAGTGCTGGGCCTTTTTGAAGCCAGCCCACATTTACTTTGGCGTTTACCAGCCTGCTGGGGGAGAGCAGTGAAAGAACAGACTGGACTGATGTTCAATCACAACACCCCAAACACACACACACACACACACACACACACACACACACACACACACACACACACACACACACACACACACACACACACACACACACACACACACACACACACACGACCCCAAATCATATCCATACACTTACATACCAAACCCTCAAACAACACTCTTACTGAAATGTATGCACACACACATAAGCACACATATGCTTGTCCCTCAAACACACATTCAGTAGTTCCTGAAGATATAGAGCCCCATTGATAAGTTTCTACCCGCTGTGGTGAAGGGTTCCCACACCCACTGAAAGGTGACTTTCATTCCCCTCTGAGGACCACTGTGCCGTGCTGTGACGTTTTCTTTGGCTGCCATGCCTGATTTTTTTTTTTAAGCATAACCATGATGCTGAAATGAGGGGTTATAAAAGCAAGCCTACTGAAAGGAATATGTTTTCATCCATGAGGAAAGCTGTCCCAAGTAATCTGAATCATTTTTCTTAACTTACTTAGAGGATGGAATCTTGTGAAACTTTATTGACAGCAACTCATAAAGCCCCATTGTTCTCTCTTATACGGCTGATTTTCTTTGTGTATGTGAGTGTATAATGAAGATTTGGCTCATCACCTCCACAGAATGTGATTTTCTCTTGTTGAGCACTGATGCATGAAGCTAAAGTAGAAATGACTTAGGCATGTGACTCCAGCCAGAAGCACTCGCTGAGGAGATTAAGGTTGAGTTGGGGAAAATTTAGTTTAAGAAACCTCACCTCGTCCTATTCTGGTGCCTGAAATCTCACATCTCTGGGATGAGGAATTTCTCTAAACCCGGATAGCTCAGTATTATGTTGTTTTTCATTCCATGTCAAAGTGAAAGAAGTCATGTAGAGTTCAAGCGCTTCCTTTAAGATTACAGCACTACCGCTGATGACCTTTGAACTACAGAAACACACAGGACTTGGGGAGAAGGAGCTGACAGAAAAAGAAAGGGGAGGGGGGTGAAAACAAGTGAAAAGAGAGTGATAGAGAGCAGCAGAAAGTCTGAATGCCACTGAGGAATTTCAAACGATTTATGGATTTGACAAGTAGAGCCGTTGAGTTTTGTGTAGCTTTAGGGCAAAGCAGGTGAAATGGTTTTTTTTTTTTTTTTATAGCTTCTGACAGAATTTAAGTGGACAAGAGAAGAGTGCAGGATTTCTTCCTAATACACTTAAACAGAATTGCAAAATGTGTAAAATAATTGTGCACTACCCTGTGTTTGTGTAGTTTAAACTGTGATTATATGTTGTTAGCCTGATGGTGTGTCTCTTGTCTGTTTTCTTCCCCTCAGGGCCCTATGGGACCCAGAGGACCACCTGGCCCCTCCGGAGCACCTGTAAGTACCTCCTGTACCTCCTCCCCAAACAACACACAAGCCTGTAGACGAGACCCTGTGTTCAGTCACTGACAGGATACTGAAGACTGAATCTTAAGAGTTGTAATGTGCTTGATGCTGCGTACATACAGTATGCCACAGTGTCTACACCCCCTGAGTGTATTTAACAAGAGTTAGATTAATATCTATTTATAATTTAACAACAATAATGACCAAGAAAATGACCAGCAGAGAGCATATCACCATACATCGGAGATGAATGTTCACTCACACACACTTTGTTTTAACTGCGAGTGTCTGCTGTTTTATGGAGGAGGGTGGCACACGGAGAACCCTTCGTCTCCCAGCTGCAGGCTCCGGGGCTTTTTCCTATGCCACGACCCAGACAAACTGTAGAACACCTGACAATTTACCTCTCACAGAGCCTACTGGGCTTCACCTTCCATCCCCGACTTCCCCTGCCCTTTTCTGTTCCTGCCTGCAACTGAGCTCTAACTTCCAGAGTAAAGCTATTAAGTTTTAGGCAGTGCCAGCTGACTTGCCTCAACTTGATGGTTTTATCACCCAAAGCCCACATTGGGAGAGAAGTATTTACTTCTTGGGCACCTACGACTGCGTTTAGATAGGAAACAGGTTGCCTGACATTTGTAGGGAAGAAGTGTCACTTAAAAAAGCTGCAGTTTGCAATGTAGACAAACAGACACAGAAATTTAACGAAGAAGTAGTTTTGTAACGACTGCTTGTGTGTTTCTACTCTGGGCTGCTGCAGATGTCGATTTTGCTAAATGTATAGATGCTCCAAGTCTTCTTTTTATGTAGCACAAGTTTCTTGTGTTTACCTTAAATAAAATATACTGTAAATTAAGATGTGAAATTGAATTAGGGTTAGGGTAGTGGCATCTGTTACAAATGCCTAGAGCTGAAACGATCAACTGATTGATCCATGAGTCGATCATCAGAAAAATAAGCAACTATTTTGATAATCAATTAACTGCTTCAGTCATTTTTCAAGCAAAAACAGTGAAAAAAAAAAAAAAGAAAAACCCACACATTCTTTGGTTTCATGTTCTTCAGTGTGAGGAATTTGCCCCTAAACCGAACACCTTTTGGATTTGGACTTTTGGTCGGACAAAACAAGACATGTGAAGAATGGGTTTCGGGTTTCAGGAAGTTGTAATGGGCATTTTTCACTCCATTTAAATACCTTGTAAATTAATTAATAATGAAAATGATTCTTAGTTGCATCCCTACAAATTACACATATTTAGAGACTTCCTACATAAGACTTATTCAAATCAAAACAAATTAATATTTTTTTTGATGAACTGATTAATTGTTTGGTCAATAAAATATCAAAACAGTGGAAAATGCTCTTGTCATGATTTCCTAAAGCCCACAGTTGATATATTGAAACTGTTTTGAACATGTCGTGTTGCTATCAAGGATTCACATCAGTGAACTTTTGCTTAAAAATTACAAAAACACTTATTCAGTTATTAAAGTAGTTCATGATCAGTCCACAGTCTTTTTTCCTGTTAGCTTCTTGTTTGCCATTGTGTATATAAAAAAGTTACACTCTCATCAAACAGCCTGTCTCTTCTTTCTACATCTCAGGGCCCACAAGGTTTCCAAGGCAACCCAGGAGAGGCTGGCGAGCCCGGACAATCTGTAAGTGTCCCAAAGAGTGCTACTCCTTCCACAGTCCACATCACATGGTTTATTATAAATTCCTGCTCTACAGCCTTTTTCATAACCTCTTTAGATGTCTCCCCTCCCCTCCAGGCGCCGATAAGCCTCTCTTCTTCTTTTCTTTTTCATCCATCTCCCTCTACTCGTGTCTAACTTTTTAAAAAGGATGGCATCATCCACAAAATCACTATTAGCTTTCAAATGACTTCAACAGGTAAAGTAAAAAGGAAAATCAGATATTGTTGATACAGTATAGTGTGTGCAAGTGAGACAGGATGCTATTTAAAAAATTAAAAAAAAAAAAAAAAAAAAGCAAAAAGAACCAAAACCACTGAAGTGGACAGTCTGTTCAACCTTATCCTATTCAATTTTACAATGTGGAAACCTTACTACTGCTGCCCCATTGTAGCTATACTTTAGTTCCATTAACACTTTCTAACCTTTCATTGCCAGCCACTAACTTATATATCCTGTATTTGACTAGCCAGCTCCTTACATTTCAACTTTTACAACCCTCACAGTTGGTCAGTCCTCACAGTCACAAACTCACATCTGTGTGAAGCCTGACATCTAATGGTGAAAGGCAGGGTACCTCTCCTGCTCATTTTTATTCTCCTCAAATAACTCTCAGACAGAATTAAGCCTTAAGCCCTTCCATTAGTTTTCATTTTCTGTTTTTCTTACAATTCCTCCTCGGAATTTTCTCTATTTCCTCGCTGCACACACTTTACCCTTTCTTACCCTTCCTGTAGTTTACACTATCCTTGTCCTTCCCGTTCCCTCAGCAGGTAGACAATTCAGGGTCTCCCCACTGCTGTGTTAATCTGCTCCTGTGGAGTTCAGATAAGCAGGTGGAGGTGCCCTACTTGCCAGCACATCATTATGAGCAATTAAAATCAAGTTTCCTACCAGAAAATAACTTGACAGTGAAGTGTTTGTGAAGTGCAGAGATAATTTTAGCCTTTGAAAATGTAATGAGACAGTTTTGGGATTTTTTTCATCAGAGTAGAAAATTAACAACATGTCTTTAATATATTTCTATTTTTAATATAACATCCCTTATGTTACTGCGGGTCAGTGTTTTATTCAATATGAGCACTTCAGAGTTTTGTTTTGTCTACATTTTCACTTGCTTACTCAAGACAGACTAATACAGAAGAAAAGAGTAAGGTCATCTAGTTGTCAAAATAAAGATAGGACCAATAGACCAATAGATAAGTGAGAAGCCTAAGGAAGAAATTGGCAGACAGAAAGAGAGACAGACTGGAAACAGCTGAACTTTATAATGAGGATATTTGTTCCATCTTCTTGGCCTAATCTCCTCTATAAATCCTGCTGATTCTGACCTTTTCTTATTGAATAACACTGTCATGAAGAGTCATAATATTGTCAGGAATGTAAATCCTTCAGTGTGTACAAAGAGATGCTCATATTAATAAAGCAATGTTCAATGTGTTTCAGATGACCAAGATAACCGTTTTTGATTAACTTAATAGTAAACACATTATTAATGGCAGCTTATGTCAGTAAGTTTAATATGTACAGGTTGAATGATTATTAAAGTCACGTAAAGAAGGTTGTTTTATGTGTCTCATTAAGTTTGCTGTCAAGGAGAGCAATAGTTGTCACCACAGGCTATAAATTTTGACCCAAAGTTCAAAATGCTGCCCTCTGTTGGTTATAAATGGTAACTGTGTCTCACCTTTGCTTGTTTTCTCTCTACTCATAATAATAGGGCCCCATGGGTCCCCGTGGCCCCCCTGGACCTTCTGGAAAACCTGGAGATGATGTAAGTATCTCACAACTTCATAGAACTAGAAATACATACAGATGGGGTCCAAATGTCTGAGACCAATTTCCCCATTCACTTGAAAATCACTTGAATGGGGCCTCTTTAAATTTGACCTTAAACCACCAGAGAAAGAAAGAAATTCTCTTGAGGCCTTTTCTGACTACAGGAACTACAAGAACTGTGTCACTGTTATGATTGTCATAGGTGAATTATGCTGAGTATTGATTTCCCGTTTGTGGCCTTTTAACACATATTCTCATAAAAACAAAGAAATACTGCTTTGATTTTTTAAAATTTGTTTAGTATACTATTATAAAGTATAAATCACAGTGTCTCCATCATTAATTGATTTTATTGGTCTCTGATAGCTCTTTGTTTTAGTATAACTATATTTCTCTAATTACTACTCTACCATTTCATAACCTTTATTTCTGAATGTTATTTTCAGCATCTTGTTATAACTACAGTGTCTGATATTTTTGTAGCTGGGTATTATTACTGCTACACTACCATAGAATTTTTTTTTTTTTTTTTTTTTTTTTTTTAAGAAATGTTGCAAATGTATTTTACATTGTACTGTCCATACTCTTTCCATCAAAATTTGCAATTCAGGGTTAAGCCAACACAACAGCTATGAGAGATAAGATGTTTCATTACTGCCATACATTTAGACATTCATCATGTCTATTGCTTATTTACCTTACAAAGGAGTGACAGACATCAAAGTGTAATTTCTACTTTTAGCCACATGATGGCAGCAGACATGACATATCACATTGTGTCCACTAGGGGTGCTGACTCTCACGTCAACAATATTAACTATACTACAGTATTTGACATTTTAAAAGGCAGCACTTACATGAAATTAACAAATTGACACAATTTATTGTGTATTTTAACTATATTTTTATTTTACACAACTTTCCCTCCCCGTTTGTGTTTTAGGGTGAAGCTGGCAAACCTGGCAAATCAGGCGAGCGTGGACCTACTGGACCTCAGGTGAGGTTTCTCAGTTCTGTGGATTCATTCCAACTCTTCTATGAACAGGGCATTTTGCGAAAGGGAGGCCTTACTTTATATACTGAAAGGTTTTGTTTCGTTTGTCTCTTTGGTGGCCAGCAATCAGTATCATAATGAGGTGCAAGAGTTTCTTATACTAGCTCTCAGACTGAAGCTGATTCATTGGCAATAAAACAAGATTTGTGGGAACTGCCCAACATCTATGAACTCTTACACAACTACTACTGTTACTGAGCCTAAATCAACTCAAACTGTCAGCGTAGTTTTACATTTAACTGTATACTGATTATACAATAAAGCACGACTGATAGAAATCTAGACTAAGCGTATCTAAATTTTGATTAGTGCTAAAAACGGAAAGTTACTGTAACACTTTCAGATATTTAATACTGTGATAAATATTTTGAGTTTAGATGGAGTCATTTATCATCTCAAGCCAGGAATCTGAGCATTTAGTGACCAATATTAGGTGGAACTGAAACAGGACTTAACTTTTGAAAAATTTGTTTGGCGGAAAAAAAAAAAAAAAAAAAAAAAAAATTCCACCCCATCTGACACTTTAATTTGCTTTAGAACTTGTTGTAAAATTGTTCCCGACCCGGGGAGGAAATCTTGACATTAACATTATTTCATACTCTCTGCTTTATCTTTGTTCCCTCCACTGTATATTAAACTTGTGCATCATCTCTCCTCTATTGTAGGGAGCTCGTGGATTCCCAGGAACTCCTGGTCTGCCCGGCATCAAGGGACACAGAGTGAGTGTGTTTGTTTGTTTGTTGAAGATTTCCAGGAAAATTAGGTTTGGTTATTGTTTGTGCTCTTATTATTGGTTTCCTAACTATGCACTGTCTCTGTGTGCAATGTTTTAGGGTTATCCAGGTCTTGATGGTGCAAAGGGAGAGACTGGAGCTGTTGGTTCTAAGGTAAGAGTTGTTTATGTGTGTACCAACTCTTTTGCAGCCCGTTAGTTTGTCTGTGTTGATGTCGGCCCTACTAAAATGGACAAAACCTAGTATTAAAAAAGGCAACAACAGCTCAAATAACACTTGCTGGGCCAATAAGATGATTTTTCATTGACATTAGACTACATAGCCCCAGAAATAGATGTTGCCAAGGTAACAACTAATGGGGTTTCAACCAAACCGTAGACTATTTTAGTTAAGTTTGCCTTGCCATACTAACAGCTAAATCTTCCCTCTCTTTAGGGTGAGGCTGGCGCTCCCGGAGAGAACGGCGCTCCTGGACCAATGGTGGGAATTTCTGGACATCACAACAATCAAACATCAACAAGAGAAAATATGTACAATCCCAGTTTTAATTAGAATAGTAATCTGATTATGACGGTTTCTTTTCCTCTCTCTCTCGTCTACATAGGGACCTCGTGGTTTGCCCGGTGAGAGAGGTCGTCCTGGACCCAGTGGAGCTGCTGTGAGTGTCTTTTTTTTTTTTTCTTTTTTTTTAACCTAAAAACTCTTATTGGACACAAAACTAACATCTGATCCAGAACACATGGTTTAGATGCTTCCTTGGCTTTCTTAGTGTCTACTACAGAGTTGGTGAGCATATCCTTAGAGTGCAGTTTAGGGGTTTTACTTTTATTGTACCAAACTGTAGCACTTGTGGTAATAAGTGCACTGTAATTTGGAGGAGTGTGTAAAGCCTAATCCATTACATTACTCTCATGGACCAGTTTGCTAATTTGAATAGCTTGTGTGAAACTATTTACGTCCCATTATTAAGGAAACTTTTGTCCTACTGTTTTTCACGTGTTGATGATGCATTTCTTACTATTTTTAGGGAGCCCGTGGAAATGATGGCTTGCCCGGCCCTGCTGGTCCCCCAGTGAGTATCAACATGAGTCTCATTTATTTCACTTTCATCATTTGGTTTGAGATTTAATAATAAACGGAGTATATAAACACCAAACATCCCTGTTTGTTCGAACCCTCACTTCTCCCCACACACCCCTCTGCAGTATGAGAGTAGCCTCTACTTCTCTACACCTGGAAATCTCAGTAATTAATAGTTGAGCTGAAAGTCTGTCTTTTTGTCTCTGTAGGGCCCTGTCGGTCCTTCTGGAGCTCCTGGCTTCCCTGGCTCTCCTGGTGCAAAGGTGAGTCGGCCGGTGCCACCGTTTCCTCTTTACCTTCACCACCGTTGTGTTTGAGAGAATGAATGAGCGTGTCTCTGTGTCTGCCCCTTTCTTTCTGAGAGAAATCTAGCCAACGTAACTGAACTTACAGCTGAATTGACTTTTTCTCAAATAAAACAAAACTGTGCGTAACAGGCGAAAGAAAATTGGGTTTTGTGAATTCTATGTAGGCTAGTTAAAATAAGACTTTCTTGAATCAAATCAAAAAGTTTATATCTGAAAAAACAGCAGCACACAGCTCAGGGAGGATTTGTGGAGACAAGTTGAAATGCTTTAGTGAAACTGGAGAAAGCTGCACTGCATTGAAAAGTGCTTTAAGCCTCCATCTGTGTGGAAAATTAGGGAGGAGGGGTTTTTAAAGTGTTATTCTCCCTGTCTCACTCACTCTCACTGTCTTTTTTTCCCCCCTTTTCTCTCTGCTTTTTATCTGATTTATTCCTCCTGCATGGTAGACAGGCTCAGATCTGTGCTCGAGGGCCTAGTGCTGGTGGTTTGCTTTCTTATTCAAGCCCCTTGATAGTTTGGGAAAACTTTTAGGAATTACAAACGAAGCATCTCTTTACAAAATCCAGGAGTTCCCCTCAAAGTAATCATGGAAAACTAGGCTCAAGATGTGAAAACGTGTGTCTGTACATGTGGTTATGCATTGTATCAAGTTACATCTATAAACACATACAGTATAGCTTAATGTTTGTCTACAGGAGAGTCTGTCTACCTCTGTGTGAATGGGTGTTTTTGTGTGGCTTTAACATCCGAGGAAGTGTCCCATGGTGAGGAACATTAAAAATCTCATATTACGTTGTTTTCGCTGTACCTTTCGGAGCGCACAGTCTGTCTGTTTGGATCAGACCTGCCTGTTAAGTCCCTTCAGCCTCATTTTATTTTTTTCCTCTCTGGACCTTATGAGCAAGGCTTTGCATATATAAAAGGGACCCAAGACTAACACAGTAAAAAAAAAAAGCTAGCTTGACAGAAACAACACAATTACCTGAACTTCAACTGAATAAACCTGCAGATCTAAATGGGAAAATTTTTAACCAGCTCCAGCTGACTATTTAAAATTGTATTATTTTGCAACCTCCAAGCAACAACCTCTTAAATATACTGACACATTTTCCATAACTTTATCTAAAAAAATAAACTGGCAATGTTCCTTTTGTCAAAGTTTTCACCTCAGTTTCACAGCCAGTAAAATATTGGCCTTTACACGAGGCTTAGAGAGAAGAAGAATTTGAACTACTACGTCACTATTTTTGCAAATACTTACAAACTATTATGTCATACTATTGAGTCTGCAAAGTGTACAAAGCTGCAGCAATAGCAAAGGAATTCCATTCACCACCATGAGGCTGCATACCATCAGTGTGGTAAAATATCTGGCTTCTGTCCAGAGGAGGGGGTGGGGCGCAAAATATTGACTTGAGTTCCTCTGAATAGAAGCTGAAGTCATTTTTTATACAGACCCAGAAGGTCCATAAAACATTATGCACTTGGCTTTAGATAACACGACTTGGAGAGGCATAGAAAACACAGAAAAGTCATTATTTGTTCATTTAAATGCTTCTGTTATATAAATATTCAACTCTAAGCAGCTTTCTTTTTTCCAAAAGTAAGCCAGAAAATAAGCAATTAACTGCATTTAGCCAGGCAACATATTATATATTATTATATATTATGTGAATACTATATATAAACATAGTTGATATTTGGTGTCTAGGCTCTGGCTTCATCACAACAACAACAACAACAACACTGAGACCTAGGTAAGGTCTTGACCTTACCCTGTAAAGTGCCTTGGGGTAATGTGTGCTGTAATTTCGCTCTATACAAAAAAATGAATTTAAATTGAACTAAATAGGTTAGATGTAGTGTAGCTTGGGTGTGAAGAATAGTAAAGCAAGCTGTCACATAAACACATTCATTTGGGTGAAAATGCTGTGACTTTTCATATTGTGTGTGACAAAAGCCATGTAGAGTTTTCAATCCAGCCACTATAACAGGGAAATGATTACATGAATGAATGGGTGGTGTGCATGAGAAGTCATGTTAAACTGCCCAAAACAACAGCAACGAGGAAACATGCCACAAAATACAATACAGCCAACAGCGCTCATAATGATAATCAAGCATATTTCACCACAGTGTAAACAGACACAAATAAAGCTTTATGATGTATACCAAACAGCAACCAAAAGAAAAATGAGCTCAGCAGCCACAAGAAGAAAGAAATTCTATCAACATCTAATCAAACTTAGCATTAGCATCCAGCAGCAGAAGCTAAAGCAGAGACAACACACGCGCACACACACCCACCCACACCCATGGGACATAATACCAGCCAAAGCATTCTCTTGTAAAATCCAAAACTATTGTTTGAGAACACTTTATATAAATCTACCTAATCCCAATCAAGTGTTGTGGTGCACTTGTAGTCGGTGTTTTTCCCCCGACAACCACAAGGGACAACAATGAGCCCAATTCCACACTTGAGCTAGAACTAACATAGCCAAGCGCCACAGAAGTGAGATTTACACTTTATCAGAATTGTCTTCCAATAAAATGTTTCGGTTTTCCAAAATACTTCAGAGGTAAAGACTAAATTATTGGTTTGTGGTTCACCTCCGCTGAGGAGCAGCGCACACCTGAGCTTCTCTATGCAACCAAACAACGAGTGAACGGAGCAGAGACGCAGCACATGATGACAGGCATATTAGAAATGGAAAAATATTTACCTTGGTGAAGTGAAGCAGTGATGATCTCCACGGACAGTAGCGTAAATCCTTGGGTCAGAGTTGGAGCAGGTCCTAAATTGACAGGAAACATCTGCTGGAAGAGAGAAATGGCTGATAATGGCCGCCGAGCAGAGTCTGGTCAGCGACTCAAAGTTTTTATATCTTTTCATTTTAAGCTCATCATGCGACGTGACCGCGCTGTCGGTGAACTAGCGGGCTTTTAAAACGGCAATGTGAGCAGCAGTAGTGCTAATAGCAGGTGTTTTTTAGCAGAGCTTTCAAATAAACAATATGTAAGTAGGATACCAGAGTGGAGACTGATGGTTTAAATGACCCACCTGTGTTCAGAGGCTGCGTCGATTAAGTGTGTCATCATGGATGGATTACCGAACGGGTCTACCGGGCACAGGCCCAGGGGTGCGAGGAGTCACGAGGCACCTGGTCTTCACCTGCAAAATATCCCGGAATGAGACACTTAATGACCAAAAAGAGATGCGACTACAAAAACTCACAAAACAATGTAAAACCATCAAAAAAAAATGCAGATGCAATAGATGCCACAAACAGATGTAAAACATCTACAAAGAGATTCAAGAAATGCTAAACCACCAATATGGAGAGGCAAAATATCCACAAAGAGGTGTACAATGTTCTGAAAGAGATTTCAAAACGACAAAAAAAGAGACACAAAATCAGTACAGAGACAAAGCGGCCACAAAGAGCTTGAAGAGTTAAGTCTGATGTAAAGCAGAACATGGAACACAGTTCATTATATCAAACATTGGTTTACATTATTATGCATACATTAGCCGTATTGACATATGTTTAAATATTGGAAAAATATTTTAAATAAAATTGGGATATTGATTTCATTCATATCACCCTAAACATAACTACTGTTCTGTCATAAAATATCTTTTTTATATTCAAGACATTTTTGTCTAATAATGTCTAAACATTAGTAGCAGCAGTTTTTAAATTTATTTTAGGTTTTATATACTTTTCTGAACCAGGCTTATGGTCAGAAATACAGAGGTATGGCATTGAGATTGTGTATCTTAGGGCTGTGTTGTGCATATGTGCTAGATAAACCTCCATTCTAATACATATAGTATTTGAGATTATATATTTTTTTAAATGACTGCATTGAAAGTCAGTTCATGTTCAGGTTAAACCTAATCTCCCCTTATCCATGTCTAAGCTTTATCCTGTAAAAGAGATATTTATCATCGCTTCATTTCTTTCTGTTTTCTGTAGGATTTGTCTGCTTTTTTTAGCTGGTTGCCAATTATTAGATGTACTTAAACTTCCAACGATCTTTGCCCGCATTTATAATTTTTTTTCTTTCTTCTGTGTTGCTGATCAGGGAGAAGCTGGTCCTACTGGTGCTCGTGGACCTGAGGGTGCTCAGGGACCTCGTGGAGAGTCTGGCACTCCTGGATCATCTGGACCTTCTGGCGCTTCTGTAAGTGATGCTATAAACATTTATTTAAAAGGAAAAACTTAGCATTATCAAGCATTACTTTATGTAAAATAACAGATTTTAAATATTTCTTTGTGTCATATGAGTTTAAATTTTTATTATTTTTATTATTGTTGATTAGACCAATCAGTGCCAGAACAATAACTGAATCAGGACCAGTTATTGCAGTGTATTGACTTGCTTTGTCACTTTGTCTTTACAGGGCAACCCCGGTACTGATGGCATCCCTGGAGCTAAAGGATCATCTGTAAGTTTAAAGCTGCTATTTGTCTGTATTTCAAACTGCCTCCTTCTCACTGCATATTTTTCCATTTAGCTGTTGAACAGTAAAAGTGCTTTTCTCACAGTCAGTCTCAGAACTGCTTTAGTGTACATAATCTATAACTCTGATATAATTGCAGTTGCAATACAGAAGGCCAGACCCACAGTATTGTAAATTAAATTGCAACGTTTCACATCATCAATCTGAAGTCATAGTTATTGGTCAGTCTGAATCCGACCTATGAAAAGAAAAAACTCACACTGAGCTTTCTACTGCATCTCTAAAGTGTGACATGAGATAGTTGAACATCACAATTGTGACCATTGTTGTCATCGATGCTTTTATAGTTCAGAATGTACATCTGATTTATAATAATTTAAACATATTGAAATGTAAATCTACATCCAGTTAGATGGATGGTTAAGTGACCAATCAGCTGATTGGCTTCATGTCTGTTTCTCTCTCTGAAGGGTGCTCCTGGTATCGCTGGTGCTCCTGGTTTCCCAGGACCTCGTGGGCCTCCCGGGCCTCAGGGAGCTACTGGACCTCTCGGGCCCAAAGGAACATCTGTATGTACTCACTGAATCATTCGTGAACCAAAGATAGTCCCTGTCATTGGAGTTGTGTTGCTTGGAAACAATTTAGGTCCAAAGTTATTCCCAGTTCCCAGACAATATCAGCTGCTGATTCCATCTTCCAAATAATGAAATGGAACTGAAAGAAAAAACAAAAAAACAACCTGCTGCTTTCTCTCTCTCCCTCTCCCTCTCTCTTGTCTGTCTGTGTGTTGCTGTTTAGGGAGACCCAGGTATTCCAGGATTCAAGGGAGAGGCTGGACCAAAAGGAGAAATTGTGAGTTTTGTTTTGTTGTCTTTTAATTGTCCCTGTATTCCCTGATTCTTCATCTATTCAAAAAATCCAAATCCACTGATACAGTATGTAAACACTGTACTTAGCCAAATGATAAGCATGCATAACAATAATTAACACAGTGAAGTCTGAGTTCAACAGTTATGACACTGAAAAGAACTGGTGCTTCTGAAGGTTTTCACATAGGTTTTAGTTATGTGATAAAAACTAAATCTTTTTCTTTTCCTGTATTAACACAGTCTTTTACGGATGTGTTTTGCAGGGACCAGCTGGTCCTCAGGGAGCACATGGCCCACAGGGAGAAGAGGGCAAGAGAGGACCCAGGGGTGAGCCCGGTGCTGCTGGACCACTTGGACCTCCTGGAGAGAGAGTAAGTGCTGAAACCAGCTTATTTTCTAAGTTTAAAAAATGCTTGCTGTATTGCACCACTCTGGTACAGTACCTTATTGAATAAAAGAATAACAGGTTCCCTGTTGTGCAGATTCGTAGATCAAAGGTTGTCACATGTTTTTATGTTATAGATCTATTAATATGTCACATATATCACATCACACAGAAGAGGTTTGACCCACAAAATTCATACATGGAAGTTTTTGTCGCTATTGAATCAGGGATGTATTGCATTGGCGTGTATATTGCGCATTTGGAGACAATATGAAAAATATAAAAGTGAAACAGTTTCTATATTAGGAAGATGGATAATTTCAATCAAATCAAAATTTGATAGAATTAAAGTCTTCCTTATTTTGTTTGATACCACCAGGGAACGTCTTCAAGAGATTCATTGACTTATATTGTTCTTGCTTTGTTGATACTGTTGTTCTAATCATAACCTTGACTGTGGTTTCATGTTTTCTGTGTAGGGAGCCCCCGGTAACCGTGGTTTCCCTGGTCAAGATGGTCTGGCTGGTCCCAAGGTGAGTATCATCATATTGTCAGTCATTCCTGAGAAGAGGTTTTATTATTGCTGTCGGAACAGAAAATCTGCTCTGAAGGAGAAAACGAACAGATGTATTTAGAGGATACCGATCTGGACGAGAAAGGCTGAGAGCTTGAAATGATGCAGCTGTGTGTGTGTCACGGGTGTAAATCTGTGAAACCGATAATTAACATATTCCATCTGCTTCAAATTGGATTTGAAAATTGCCATTGGCAATTACTTTGGGTTTTTTTTTTGCCAACTGACATTTCTGAATCATCTAATCACAACATTGTCACATCCTGCCGGACGCATATTGATTAAAAATCACATCACCATAAACTGAAATTCAATTTCACTCAATGTGATTTGATAACCCTCAAATCCAACCATAAAAAGATAAGGCTCTCGCTGTTCCACTGTTGTGGTGTTGTGTCATCTGTGTTGCATTATATGAGAAGTGACATTACTCTGCTGTGGCACTCTTCGGAGAGCAGAGACTCAGAACTCCCAGGGCTTCAAACAGGCCTGTATACATTCTCCCTCTTGCCAGAAAATAAATCGACATCCACACAACTGTCATTCACAATGGATTACATATCTTTGCAAAAACCTTGCACAAACCGGGCAAAAAACTAAATTTAATGTAGATACTGTTCTGTCTCATAAAGATGGTACCTTGATTACGTGTTGTTGTTTCTTCTGGTCTTCATACTCTTGCTTTGGACAAAAAATAATTTGTTTATTAAAAATGATCAGTCATTTATAATGCTGCCCCCTGGCAACTTTCAATTTAGCAGCAGTCAGCACTGAGCTGAGGAAAACAATTTGGCCTCAAACTGCTTCACACCATCATTACAAACAACTGGGACATGCAGTATGTTTCAACTGATTTCCTTGAACAACACTTTAGTACAATCAGGATTTTAGTTCATATCTGGTGTTAGTTGTTAAAATACCAAAACAACCCGCTGCATGTTAATATTATACATGTGTAAACATATAGATGAAATACCAGGTGAAACAACAGTTTGAGAAAAATTTGCAGAGCAGTGATAATTTAAGCTATACAGACAATTTAATGTAAGCAGTTCTCAAAAAGCCATAAATAAACAAATGGTCTACAAAATTGCATTATATTTTAGATAAATAATAATAAAGAATCAAAACTAAATTATATATTTCTACAACATAATGTGTCATTGATGTTGTTACATAATTTTTCCCCCAAACAGTTGGCTTTCTGACACATACAATTCATTTCAAAATGAAAGACCAAAGGAGGAAGGTTTTCATACTGTAGCTTTACCTTCATGGCTCCACAGTGTTTACATAGATAATTAGCATTTTAAAGCAGAGAAATGGAGTCAGAGCTCCAGCCTGGGAATAAAGAATTAAGAACTAATTATTTGGGAATTACTAAAAAGCATTTCTTATTAGTCATATTTGACTGCGCCATGGTAAGGGGAAGAAAGAAAAAAATGGATAAAGCACTCAGCATCTTTTGAATATTTTATTGACCCAGTTGTCCCTGATGACATCTCTCAGAGATAATTTTTCACCTCATTAAGTCAGAATAAATCTCAAATGAAGTTAAAGTGCACAAAGTGGCTTACAGTTTTGAAATGATGTAGTCGATGAGGCGTGTAATAAGTGAAACGCTTCCTCGTGGTTCACGCTGGACTCAGATCAGCGGCCTAACTGACGAGAGAACTTAATAAATCACTTTTTTCCTGTGATGAGCAAAGAGGGAAATTTGTCAGCGCGCCTGTTTCGTCATGCTTCAGTGATACATGTAACTCCACCATGTGGCCTCAAGATGGCAGCATGGCTCATAAGCCAGTCATGCACTAGTGACCTACATGTCCCATATCAGCAAAGCCAGCATCTCATTTAACATTATCTTCTCCCCACACAATTTCATTTATACCAAAATGAGTCTGTCAAAATTTAATCTTCTCATCTCCAGCAGGTCAATGAAACTCCTTTGCACTATTAAAAGGGAAACTCATTTCCTCTGCGGTTTGAGAATTGAAGCGTTGCCTCTTTAGTGATTAACTGAGTGACCAACTCCTGTTTTATATTCTTTCTCCTAACACAGGGAGCCCCCGGTGAGCGTGGACCCGCTGGTGCTAGTGGTCCTAAGGGTGCTAACGGTGACCCCGGCCGTCCTGGAGAGTCTGGTCTGCCTGGTGCCAGGGTAAGTTTGTCGTTTATCTACAGTGCGTTTATCACAGATCTGGATGTTTGTGATCTGCAGAAATAATAATTGTCATAAGAGTCAATATCAGTACAATACACACAGTGTCAGATGTCACCCATTCTTCAGATTGCACACTGCAACTGAAGATAATATGTTATAATATGGTAATTTAGCAAATTATTATCTAGCTGTAGATACGGGTCAGTCCTAATTTTTGCTGTATTTTAATTCTCAGTTCCCCACACCCTTTCTTATCGTATAAAAACCTTGTATCTCCAAAAAGTACATTTTCATGCTGTAAGAAAAACAGCCCCATTTTAAGCTTTGTTACAATTGAGTTTTTATGGTTAATTTAGCTTAAGAAGTGGGAGATTTATCTCAACTCATGAATGAACACTTGAATGGATGCTCCAGTGATTTAGTGGTGCATTTTCATAAATTTAGGAGACTCACAGAGATAAACTGAAAACCTTGTTAAAACCGGGTGCCTACATAACCCACAATGCAGCACGACCACCAACAGGTTGGTCAGAGATTCAGGTGTGTTATAATAGTTGCGGCTAACGTAGCCCTGAGCTGCTAGCCTCAAGCAGAGATAGGGAGTGAGCTTATGTCTCACTCTGCACCCCGAGATTTTTTTCATTTTCAAATTTGTAGTCCTCAGCCCCAGCCGACGCTGACTCAAATGATATCATTTGAGTCAGTTTATCAGATATTTCACACAGCTCCATCGGGAGCCACAAAAGGTTTTTAGACAACTTTTTGACATATGCAGTAGTCCTTCCCAAGAGCAAGAAACAGATTTTGAGTTAATTTAGAAAATCTCTAAACCAAGCTGACATTAACCCTGACGCTTGTCTGCAGCCACAGAAGGCCTGATACAGCTGATTTCACAGGGAGTGTACTATTTTGCATTTGCGCTTCTTCCTGTAGTGATTTTACCTCCCAAACAGTGACACAAGTGGTTGTCTTGTTTGTGTACAATTACTACAGAGGAAGTATGAGAAAAGCACCTGCAGTGAACCAAGCTGATCCCTCATTCATGTTTCAGTTCTTACTCATTTCCATCAGCAGGTGTTGAACTGTTGCTTCTTGCACACACGGCCAATCAGAGGTGTAAAGCAGTTTCCCACAGTGCCATATGTTCCCACCTTTATTTAGCACATGTCTGATGACTCATCTGGATTTCGACTGTGTTTCTTCCCTGACAGGGCCTGACTGGACGCCCTGGTGACGCTGGTCCTCAAGGCAAAGTTGGACCTTCTGTAAGTGCTTTTAAAACTTCTTTTTATCCTGTAACAACAATAATGTAGTTGTGTCTTTGTAAATCAATAAAAAATGATAACACAGCGCGTATCTCCATGCAGTATTATGGGCTATATGTTTTTTTGTTTTGGTTTTATATTACAACCAGGAGAGACTCATCATTTTATCAAATGTGCTCTCATCACATAATGACTCATAAGTGGTTTCAAATCAAATTGCAGGAGATTTATTCACCCATTATCCACCAGCCTCATCCCCAGTGGTGTTTGTGTTTCAAGCAGGCTCAACTATCCTGGTTTTTTGAGCAACAAAGTCTGACACACTGTAGCTTGTTTCAACTTTCATATCAAACTCGGAGCGCACTCATTTGCTCAACGTCCGTTTGGCTAGACAGGCTCCTGTTTCTCATGATAAAGCTTAATCCTGAAGTGTGTTTTCAGCCCAGTCTGTTTCCTAACTCTTTTTCGTATAGGCTAAATAAATATTATGTTCACTTTAAAAGAATATATTTTCTGTTCAGGGACTGTATCTCATTAAAACATTGGTTTAACCAGTTAAGTTTACTTTCAGATTAAGCAGTTGTTTAATTCTTCTGACTGAGGGACTGGCATATGGACAGATTGATTAGGAGAGATTATTTGATCTGTTGCTGGAAATTTCTCTGTTAGACCCCACTCCGAACCTACGGCACCAGTTCTGGCAAGATCCTCTGAGAAATTACTTCCTCTGTACTTCACATCTCTAGTCAAAATACAGTCGTGATTTAGCATTTTCTGCTTTTCGCCCCAGATGTTGTAACAGTTTAGCCCTCGCTATCAGACCCATCTTTTTACAACTGCTTTTATTTTTGTACAAATGTGATCCTGACTACATGCCCGCTTATGTTGTCTATTGCATAGATTTTTTTTTTTATTTCTCTGTAAAGCACTTAGGTCATCATTTGTTATTTGCAACTGTGCTCTGTAACTAAATTGACTTGACTTTACTTCACCAGGGAGCTCCTGGTGAGGATGGACGTCCAGGACCCCCCGGCCCACAGGGAGCCCGTGGACAGCCTGGTGTCATGGGATTCCCCGGACCCAAGGGAGCGACTGTAAGTACAGTATTTATGACAAAGCTAAAGTTATCTGTATAGGAAAAGTGTTTTACTGTTTTAATATCATAGATGTGGGCCTATAGACCTTCTAAATCAAACACTCTATGCCTCTTCCCCTGGATTACTGCTGAACATTTTTATGCTATTCAATATCACATGTACCCTCTCTGCTCCTAAAATAGGTACAGGACAAAGCAAATCAGCCGTGGCCTTTTGACTAACCGCTACATTTTGTTTGTGTTGTGATTAGGGTGAGTCTGGCAAGTCTGGTGAGAAAGGACTGTCTGGAGCTCCTGGTCTGAGAGTAAGTTTTTTCACCTTTTCTGCTTAAAATAGTCTGCTAGTGCGTTCCGCATTTATCCAACATGGGATGTACTTTCAAAAAGTCAACCAGCCTATGATTGATTTAACAGACTATACAGGAATATTTATTTAAACAGATCAAATTGAAAGTTTCTGTTCAAATATACAGAAAGTTTTATACTCTCTATCTACTGTGACTCACCACTGAGCTACCGTTATGTCTGTAGTTCAGCTTCCACATGAGAAGCATGTTGGAAAGCTCAATTATAGCTATCAGATGTCTTTCCAGTTAATAGCATCACCTTTGGCTTAAATGTTGATATCTATCTATTTGTTGCCCCCTCCCTCCTCCCTCCTCCCTCTCTTTCTTCCTCTCTTCAGGGTCTGCCTGGCAAAGATGGAGAAACCGGCCCTGCTGGACCCCCCGGCCCTGCTGTACGTATCTCATACCCCCCTCCCCATCCCACTCCAATAGCTTCAACACTGATATTATCTTTCACTTTTCTCAGTCTACACTTAGAAGCAACCTTCGATATCTCTATTTCCTAGACTGCCTCGATCATAGCTCTGTCTGGGGAAAAAAAAAAAACACAAATGTCTGAATATTGTCAGATGGCGTCACTGACTCACAGACTTTCAGCTTGTTTTGAAGTTTCTGTTTAAACAAAATTAAGCCTATTTGACCTGAGTTAACCTGATATGTAAAATCAAAATTATTCATATGATATTGATCGTTATCAGAGCTGCATTAATTGCAAGTTTAGCATTATTTTCCCACCATATTAACCATCAAAGTCTGATGTGAAATTGCTGACATTTAGTTAATGATAGAAGTTGACTGTGATCATGAATTATGGATTATCTACGTAGGGCCCTGCTGGAGAGAGAGGAGAGCAAGGACAGCCCGGTCCCTCTGGCTTCCAGGTGAGTCTGTCTTCACAAACCATTAGCTGTTTAGTAGTAGTAAGTGTATTAGTAGTAAATCTATCGCTGTTTTTACAGTGTAACAAATAAAAACATCACTCACTTTATATCTGGTATTCTACTGAGCAGACATCAGTACACTGTGACCTGATTAAAAATGACTGTATTACAACTGTTACATGTTTCTGTGTTTTTTTGTTTGTTTCTCTTCCATAAACAGGGTCTGCCTGGACCTCCTGGCCCCCCCGGCGAGGGAGGCAAGCCCGGAGACCAGGTGGGTGCACTTTTTTGGTGAAATACATCTTGTAAGGTCACATAATCGCAGTGGAAATACTGGTATTAATCTATCATAGGCTTGAAGAGAAGAGATCCTGAAAGTAATTTGGTGGATGCTGTAATTACATGTTCTTAACTCCCACCTGACAGCATTAGTATTTTTCTACTAAACTGTTAACCCGATGTTGCTGTATGAGAGCTGGTATATTCTGGTATACTTACCCTGTATAAATAATAGAAAATAAATAATAATAAAAATGGATAAAAGCAGTTTGTTGCTCCACCATTTCAGTGATTCTGAACATTTTCTCTTACAGATCTTTGTCCCAAAATAAACCAAACAATGAACGTTGAGGCTATTTACAATGTTGTTTCACTGTGAATGGAAAAGCTGTAAGCCAGTCTAGAGTATTAGTAAATCTACCAGTAGTAGTACTAGTACTGGTTGTAGTAGTTCCCCTTTCTTACGTATTCATGGCTTGACTTGTCAGACACTGATCCCACTCATCTTTTCTCTGAACCTGTCTTTCTTTTTATCGTTTCAGGGTGTTCCTGGAGAGGGTGGAGCTGCCGGTGCCACTGGCCCCAGAGTAAGTTGACCGTCTTGATTTAACTTTAACTTTAACTTTAACTCGACTGATTGTCAGACATGCCCGCTAATTGTCGTTGTGTCACTTTTCAGGGAGAGCGTGGTTTCCCCGGAGAGAGAGGAGCTGCTGGTCCTCAGGGTCTGCAGGGACCCAGGGGTCTTCCTGGAACTCCTGGAACTGACGGACCCAAGGTGAGTCCAGCATTTGGAAAGTTTTCAAATCATTAAATATTATTCCCTGAGATGTACTCACACCTCTGGCAAATATGATTCTGTGGTACTTACGCCAGATTTGATATCATCATGTTATCTCATTCAGCGGCAGAAACACAGCAATCGGAGCATGTGATTGAATAATAACTGCCTGAGTTGTGCACATGTAGCCTAAAAATTGTTTGTGGGAGGAAGTCAACCACCCAGATCCTGACACATCTTGTGATCTGTTAGTAGTTAGTAGTTGACAGTCTTTTGGTGTTTTTATGCCACTTGCTGTATGAAATAACACCTCTGCTCAGTTTACCTGAAGGCAAATGTCTAATTTTATAGAACTGCCTCGGGGGAGCAGTCCACAAACTAGGGTTTGGGACGAGTAACCTGAGGGGTCACAAAGTGATTAACAGGAGAGGAAAGGAAAAAAACAAACATTTCTGCCAAATAAACTTGTGCTTTTTTTTTCAACTCGCCTCTAATCTTTGCTTTTTTGTGAATTTATTCATACAATTAGTTATTGATTATTAATTATTTGAATTAAGCAAAGCGTCTATGTGAACATAGACATCCAGTCACATATACTCCATATATAGTCATATACACACTGTATGGCCATACAGGCATACAAACTGTGCACACATATCTGGATATAAACACTATATCACTGTACGATGCATAGTGTACCTGTATAAACACTATATGTACACACTGCAGGGAACCCTGCATCATTTGAATAGAGAACTATATTATCACCATAATAAGGATCTGCAGGATTCAAGACTCTTTACCTGCATTGGAATACTACATTTTAATGAGTTCATAAAAAATGTGGGTATTTTAAAGAGAAATAATATTTTCTATATGTTCCCTTAACACAAGGTAACCCAGTGTATTTCCAACCAAGTTGCACAGTCACTCGTTTATCAGCCATCAACACATTTCAGCCACTGCAGTAATTTCTCACAACAGCACTGTAAGTAGAGAAAGAGCTCAGAGCGGCTGCAGTTCCCACTCTTGATTTGTTATCGGGTCAGATTTTAATCCCAGTTCATAGGTTTTCTTCCCCTTGAGGTCAGACAGGAGTGGATAGAGAGGGTGAGGATTATAGAGCTGACATGAGTGATGGAGGAGAAATCAACAGAGAGGTTGTAGAGGGTGAAGCAGGAAATATGAGAAAGATTCAGAAGGATTTGTTGCTCAAGACACATTGTATTGGAACTTAAGGGGGCTGATCTACAGTTTTAATGCATTCATAGCCAACATGGAGGCTGCATGAGCCTTGTGGCTACAGTTTAATGACTGGAGATGTATGTCTGATCTTCAGTCTGAGGCTGCAGCAGAAAGCAGCCCTGATAAGCCTGACAACTTCTGACCAGAAGTGGGCCTAGTGGAGCCACTTATGAACAAAATCAAAGTCTGCATTTGCTTCCATTTTCTTGGCTTTGATATGTCGAATAGAATTTTTTTTTTTTTTTTTTTTTTTTTTTTTATGATCAAACTCCCCTTTCTTTCTTTAGAATACAGCTTTAAAAGGAACACATGGAATTTGAGATATTTTTTATTTCCAAAACTGATTGACTGAATTTTGGGCAAAAGAGTTGGCTAAAGTTCATTTTAATCCAGAAAGTGAACAGCCTGTGTCAGGTGAATAATATTTAACAGCTGTTTTTTTCTGTCCTTTCCATCAATTGATAACCTTGAGCAGAACTTGCTGAGACAAAGATTGTCTGTTTTGTTGAAGTGGATGCGTTCTCACTCTATAAGAGCAGCATTTTTGTATTTCTGACTCGTGTGTAAATAAACACAAAGTCTTGGCAAGAGCAATCTGAAAAGTGACAGCAAAACATTCTCAACAAAAGTCAAGGTTTCAGCGCAAAATCTTGAATGCATCACTAAGCAAACGGCACCTCCTCACATCTGTAGCAGGCGCTTACATCATATACAGTAACTTCAGGTTACTGCATGAATCCATCTCCATTTATTTCTCCTCCGTAATAGGGAGCCATTGGACCTGCCGGTGCCGCTGGAGCTCAAGGACCCCCCGGCCTGCAGGGTATGCCTGGAGAGAGAGGAGCTGCTGGCATTCCCGGACCTAAAGGAGACAGAGTAAGTCATGATGAGAACAAAGTGTTAATAACAGAATAAAAAATATGTTAAATATTGAGTTGAAGTTTTATGCCTACGACTGTCAGGTGACTGATTTGTTTTGTGTTTTTTAACCCCATAGGGTGACATTGGAGAGAAAGGACCTGAAGGTGCTCCCGGCAAAGACGGTGCCAGAGTGAGTCATTGCCATCCATTTTTGTTTTTCATAAACGATAATAGTCAGTGTTGAGTATGGACAGAATGTATTGACTTGCGGCAGTCTGAGTTAAAGTCTTTTCTTTTTACAAACGGGGGTGTTCAGTGCTTCAGAGCCGAGTTCAAGATAAAATGTTAATTCTCGTGCTGGTTCAGACTTTTTAACAAAGTTTTTACACCCTTTCCTGTTTCCTGTCACAGGGTCTCACAGGTCCCATCGGTCCTCCAGGTCCTTCTGGTCCCAACGGTGAGAAGGTGAGTGCTGCATCATTTTTCTTTTAAGTCTACGTGTGAGTTGAAATTTTCTTTGTAATCTATTAATACTATAGTTTAGTTTGTATCATTTCTTTTTGACATGGTTTATTGTTTTAACTGTCTGAGATATGAAGACAATACCTGTCACTGACAGTGTATCTGAACCCAGTGTTTATGGCTTGATGCTGTCTTTCCTTTCAGGGTGAATCTGGTCCTGCTGGTCCTTCTGGAGCTCCTGGTACCCGCGGTGCGCCTGTAAGTGTCACAGTTTAATAACTAGTATCAGTTTATTTAACAAGTGGGATGTCGTTGTCATAGTAAAAAAGAAAAAGCTCAGAGTATGAATTTAGTGCACCTGTAGTGCCTTGTAGTACACTACCAGGTAGAGATTGATTTTATCCAATTTAACGCTTTTCAGAAGTGAGTTATCCTTTAGAGCCAGAAAGATCAGAGATGATAGTTTTAAAACAGAGTTCATCTGAGTTGTTGTGTTGTTGGATTTCAGAAAGAACACATTTACGTTTCCCTCACTTGCTCACACAGCGTTGCAGCCTGGACTACCCACTGAGTTTTTCTTGCTTCTCTTCTTTCAGGGTGACAGGGGTGAGACTGGACCTCCTGGGCCTGCTGGATTTGCTGGACCCCCTGTAAGTAACAAAAACACAACAGTGACCAGCTCGTAGGTCTGTAGAAATCTGAAGAACATCACTGCAGAGCCGTAGACTAAATGTCATGACATGTCCTCTACAGCCTTTGAGCAATGTGCGACTTCTTGACTTGTTAGCATGGTTGAGAAATTTATAGCAATAAAAATTTTAATCTTATTTTAAAAAATGTAAGCTGAATCTCCATTAAGTCATAAGTATTTATATTTACACATAAAAGAGGGAGATAAGTATGTGAAGGACAGACATTAAAAATATAATACACACACATTTAACTTAAAAGCACTATAACTAGCACCCTTTTAAAACCAGTTACAAAAATTAGAAAAATAATAAGCACAGTAATTACTAACTCTTCCAGTGTAAAAAAAAGATGTAATATTTAATTGTATATATAACCTATTCCAGAGGTATAGAAATACACAATACAGTAGATATACAACATAATAATCAAATCAAATTACAGTGAAAATGTTGTTATTTTTTTCTATAAATAAAAAGAGGATTCAAAACATCACTTCATACTTTGTTTCCTGGAAAAATGAGATTCCAGCTTTGTATAGTCACAAGCTCTGAGATGACTAGCGTCAACCTGACAAGCTTTGATTTTTATTAGCACTATCTGGGAACACTTGAATATCCTTATACCTTCACCTCTGTTTCAGCCCTCACTGAATCATTTTTTATCTTGGCAGAGTTTCCTCAGTGTATTATTCAGCGGAGAGAGATGAGTGTGTAGATAGTCGGAAGTCTTCACATCACTCATCCATTTAGTTCCTCCCAAAGACTCCAGGCCGTCATCAACTAAATGTTTTTAATAAGCTGCATCCTTCCAAATGGAGTTTCATCAATGTTTTGTTGACAACACAATCTATCATATGTGTTTTTTTTTCTAGGTTGCACTATGATTAATTATTGAATTTATGTCAGGATGAGTAACACTACAAGGTGTCTAAATATTTTTGGTTCACAGCTCACAGGCTGTAACATCACAGCTTCTCACCTCACTGACTGAACACAGACATAGATGTTGTACAAAACATCAGCAGCGCCCTTTAAATCCTTTGACAGTCGTAGGCTTTTAATTGCTGTTGAAGCCATCACAACAAAAATAAAAGCTGAAAGAAAACTCATCACCTTCTGCACTTCTTTTCTGTTTTGAAGTGTGTTTTTTCCACAGTAAATATAATATAATATAATATGTAACACCAGCTGCTGTGGCCACAGTGACAGTTACACAGTTGAGGCAAATGCTAAAATGCACTGCAGCAGCAGCAGCAGCAGCAACAATCATAAAGTCAGTGAGCAAACAATATCTGTACAAAGTTTGCTAACATTAGCCACCACGAGCTAACCAGGCCCATTAAAGGTTCCATCAGAATGTATTCAATTGAGCAAAGTTGTGTTTTATTTAATTCGTAAGAGGAGTAATATTAGTATATATAGTAATATGTAATAATTTCTTCTTTCAAATATTACATGGTGTCACTTTACAAATTCCCAATTTGTTTATATGGAAGAAGTGCTCTGGTCTTTTACTTGAGTAAAGGTATACACTGCATTGTAGAAAAATATTAACGTCAAAATCTACTTAAAGCACGTGTTGTGTACATTACTGTAATGTTTCAGTTGGTAAAGCTTGGGCTTATCTCTGCTATATTCTGCTGGGTAGTTTGTGAATTTCCCCACAGGATCAAAGTCTTATCATTGTCTATAATAATACATCATAATTTATTTATTGATTGTATGTTGTGTTATTAATCTGAATCTGCCAAGTAACTCATCACTAAAGATATTGTATTATTGTAGTGGAGTAGAAGTATAAAGCACCAGAAAATGGAACTCAAGTAAAGTACGAGCACCTGAAAATTGTACTTTGCTACTTTTCCACCTGAAGTTTGAATCTTCAGTGTAGATGATAAAGCGTAGTGGTTGTAATGTTTCGTGGTTTCATACCGATTTGACTGAGATTTAAAGCATACATTTATGTATGCATTCTCCACCCTGAAGGGATACTCCATCAATTTGATATTGCACTTCCACAAAGTTGGAAGGCCAACGGGGACACATTTAAAAAATAATGGTCAAAATCAAAGTAGCAGAGGATAAAATATACGGACTTTTAGTGTACCTCAAGCTCCAAAAACACTGGATCCTACGATTCCCATAGTGCAACTCAGTAGCATATTTTCATTTGACTTTCCATGCCTGAGAAATAATCCACACCTCTAATTTGTAATGCAGGCTTTCTGTCATTAATCCTCTTATAAAGCCACAGAAAACATTATACAGCACAGCTGTTTTCACAGCAACCATTAACCATGACTAGTAAACTGATCTTGTATGTGTAACAATAGCAGACTGCCCCTTTAACCAAATTCATTTTAGGATATCAAGTAGCACCATCCTCGATTTTTAACAAATAGCTCGTTCACAAATATGAACATTTGTTGTTTTGATGACCGACATGTTTCATAACTGTTTTTGTCTTTTTCTTTCAGGGAGCTGACGGTCAACCTGGAACCAAGGGAGAGCAGGGAGAATCTGGACAGAAGGGAGACGCTGGTGCCCCTGGACCCCAAGGACCATCTGGTGCCCCTGGACCTGCAGTGGGTGTCACTCTAGATTTTTGATTTTTTATTTTACACACTGAACCACACAGTCTTTTTTTTTTGCTTTGTCTAATCCCTAAATAATGAAGGTTTATAAACAACAGCAAGACAGAAACTGACTGACAGTCTTTTTTATGAGAAGAGAAAAATGCACAAATCGGAAGAAAAATCATCCTTTTTTCCTCTTTGTTGAACATCTGTGGAGGGGCGAACGTCACGCCAGGTTGAAAGCTGTCCTTGTCACTGATTGTGCCACACCGGGCAGAATAAAAAATGATCTGAGGCAGACAACCTCCCCATCAATTGAATATATTCCAGCATTATTTCACAGCAACTGAAAGTGTTTTTTAGATTTAGGTTTATATTGCCCTCTCTAAAACATAAAACAAATGTCAGACAGTAATGTGCTTTTCTCTTCCAGGGTCCTACAGGTGTTTCTGGACCTAAAGGTGCTCGTGGTGCTCAGGGACCTCCTGTAAGTGACTTTTTAAAAATGCTTGTCATCTTTGTCTCATAGTAGCGTGTGCAAGAACCATTATTTTGTGAATTTATTTTTGGCTTTATCTAAATGAATCTTTCTCTGTCAGGGTGCCACTGGTTTCCCTGGAGCTGCTGGCCGTGTTGGACCCCCTGGTCCCAATGTAAGTTCAGTCTGCATCCATCCAACTGAGTCTGTATGCATATGAGAAAAATACAGTTATAGTGTTGATACCAAAAAACACATATATGACATTCATGTAGATATTTTCTACATTATTTGATAGACATTTTTCTGATCTACACTACTTTTACGTAGACCTCTAGTATAAATAAACTGTTGGATAATGTCTGGTAATATGGGAAAAGAAGCATTGTGGATATAACCCCAAGTATGGGAAAGAAGAAGAAAAATGGGCTTGATTTATGCTTTGCAAGGAAGAACCTGGTGCAGCAGAACAGATACAGTATTTCCTAAATGCCACCTGACTTACTGTCACCCAGGAAGCCTTTTTAATTTGCCCCTCTAAAGCACTTACACTTGCTGTTCCAGCACATAAACACTACCAGCGCAGTGGGATTTGTTGTAGCTTGTTTAGAATATTTTTTATAGACTTGATAAAAAGAAGTGCAACATATTGTGAGAAACAAGTCTGATCCTGTAAATCTGCTAATGTGTGACGTGTGTTATTAAAAGTTATTTAAAGATACACAGATGCCCTGGGGCTCATTGAAATAATAGAGACATGATTGCTTGTGTATAAGGGCTTGTACACCATAGAATTGACATATATTGTCACTCCATTTAATGTATGTTATTCTTATACTTCTCAGGGTAATCCTGGACCTGCTGGTCCTGCCGGCCCTCCTGGCAAAGATGGACCCAAAGGAGTGAGGGGAGATGGTGGACCTCCAGGCAGACAGGGTGACGCTGGGCTCCGCGGTCCTGCTGGCACTTCTGGAGAGAAGGGAGATGCTGGAGAGGATGGTCCTCCTGTGAGTTTGTCATTCTTTAATCATATTCCTCCATATACCTACTCAAGACACAGCTGGGCTTTTACATAATCTGTAACTTCTTGACCTTGTGTCTCTTGAAATACCTCTCCAATCCCTCCAGCACCCACATGCGCACATACTTTGCCGCTCTTCAGACCGCACGTCTCCTTGAACACTGTCAAGGTGAACACGGGTGTCCATTACAGGGAGACGAGAAAATGATCAAATGTGTTTGTTTTCTACATTTCTGTCGATTTTTACGTCGCTCTGTTAGCACAAAGAGCCAATTTCATCAGTAATGGACAACAGCTGAGCACATTCTCCATTAATACACACAGCTGTCAGTGTCCATCACTGGCTGTAATAGCAGACCAAGACACATGACAGCACAGGGCAGCACAGGCCCCGTGACAGACTGATGACAAGGACCTCAGGCTTTTACCTTTCCTGCACTTAGCACTACGCACATACCCGTCATAAACACCTACAACGAGTCCTGTCAAGATAATGACACATCACAGATGATTGCATACTCAAACATGAAGATAGCTGCTGGGTCCAGACCCTTCCCCCCTATAGATTACATATATGAAAGCTGGAACCATGTATTAACACATCAAGACCTTTGTCCGTCAGCTGAACGGTGTGTCTCAGGTGTTTTCTTTTTTTTTGTGAACATGGGTTAGGGGAGCTTTCAGTGTTGCACACCGCAGGACATGTGGCAGAGTGGAGTGAGGTGATGTGGATGAAACAGACCTGAAAGGATGGATGGAGAGATTGATGTTGATGTGTGTAGCTGCCACTGAGAGTTGTAAAATCTCAGATGGAGCAAATGACAGAAGATATAAATAAATCAGAAATCTTAAAGAAACATGACAGAAACAGAAGCAAGCAGAGGTATAAATAAAACGTTGCTAAAACACAAGCTTTAAAATAAACTGCTTTGTATTCCGTTGTATCCATCTGTCAACAAACTATAATGCTTGGTGACTCAAAGGAGTCTTTGTCCGTTGGTGTGCAACATCACAGCAACAACAAAACTCCAGAAGTCACTGCTCCCAGCCAAGAAATGGACTGACACATAAAACCATCCATTAGAGGCGCTGGGTCTTTATGCTATGCTAAGCTAAGCTAAACTAAGCTAAGCTAACTGGCTGCTCACTGGAGCTTAATATTTACTGTACAGACCCAAGAGTGATATGGATCTTTTCATCTAACCTCTTGGCCAGAAAGTAAATAAGTGTATTTCCCAAAATATCAAACTAATCCTTTTAGACATTGTTGCCTTTTTGTGTGAAATACTGTTGTAATAATCTCTCAAAAGTTTATTTCAATTTCAAAAGGACAGATCATCTTATTTAATCTTAGAGTATAATTGCAAATAGGCAAGGCTAAAAAATGAAGGAATTATAAAAAGAAAATAGCGTATATTACGAACAGGTTTAGAAAAAAATATCTTAAAGTTAATTATTAACTTATTAACTTAGTTTATTTTAATATTTATTTGTTTATTCATTCAACTTTTTATTGTGTACGTCTTACAATTTTAAATGATCTAAGGCTGCGTTATGTTTATGTTATGAGTTCATGTAAAATAAAAGGACGTAGGCCGATATATTATCCCTGGTATTAGTCTCAAATATCATGTGTGGTTTTATCTTATTTCAATAATGAAAAGAAAGGAAGAAAATTAACATAATGAAATAATGACAAACTCTAATCAAATGAATTGATGGCACAAATGATAAATGGCAGACAATACATTAGCCGCATGTTAACTGTGTTTTCTGCCTCTTTTTTTTTTTGTCCCTCACAGGGGCCCCCAGGTCCTTCAGGTCCTCAGGGTTTGGCCGGTCAGCGCGGTATTGTCGGTCTACCTGGACAGCGTGGTGAGAGAGGTTTCCCTGGTCTGCCTGGACCTTCTGTAAGTAACATAATGTTCACCTACTCAAGTAATCAATATACAGATTCAGACGGTAGCTATCAGTTACTTTTCAGTCTATAATAAATGTCAGACAAAAACTGAAAGATGCCCGTCACAATTTCCAAAAGGCCAAGGGGGAATCTTCAAATCCCCTTGTTTTGTAGAAATATATAAGATATTTGATTCACAATAATAATTAATAATGTCAATCAATCATTTTTCTTCTGTGACTGAGAGAGCTCATCACACTGCAGCGTAAGAAAACACGTCTATTGGCTTGTCTTCTCACAAGGTGCAGTGTGTTTAAGCTGACTTACCTTTCATACTTTTTTCAGATTTTTCTGATTACTCAAGAAAATAATCAGCAGATTTATCGATAAGGAAAATAGTCGTTAGTTACAGCCCTACACAGTCTTCACTTTTGAGAGGCTGGAACTCAAGAGCACACTACCTAATGTCACTTAGCACAAGTGAGTGTAGAAACCCTCAGACTGGCTCTGGACTGTCAGTCTGCTGTCCTAATTAGATCACAGTCAAATCACATCTCACATGAGCCAGGGCTTCTCTCATGGTGAACTGACTCCATTTGATGTACAGTGTGACACGAGACAAGACGGCTCCCCCTGCTTAGATCTCTCACTATCTGATATGTGACACGAGCCATGTCCCCTACTTACAACATCTCAGTGGGCATGTCCTTACCTTTAATTATTCATCAGCATGCATGAAACAGATGCCAAAAAAGCCAAACTCACCCAGGAACGTTTCAAGCCGAGCATATGCTTTCAATAACGGAAGTGGAGTTTGAAGTGCACATACAGTTTGGTCTCCTTGAAGGCAGCAGGTGTTCCGAGGTTGGTATCTCTGGATTGAGGCAATATTCTGTTGAATTGTCGCTATTGAAAATGAATAAGTAAATAAATTTAGTTTTTAGATTAAGTAGCTTGTTCGTGGGTAAATTAGCATTTCAAGTGGTCTGTGTAATAGATTAGTAGATTGTAATTAATTAAGACATCAACACGAACCATTACTACAGCTGACTGGATGAATGCATCACTCGTCTTTGCTTCTGATTTTCAAACTGAAAAAAAACATGGCAGCTCTGCTGGAAACATCTCCAATACTACCGCCCAAAGCCAGTTTCTAAATACATTTGAGGAGATGAATAGGCCGAGCAGTTGCTGTATTTTATATTTCTAAATAAAAAAAGTTTCTAAAATAAATCTGAGGGGATTAGATGAAGTTGCAAAAACATGCTGCATTTTATGTCTACAACACCTAGTTTTAATAGGTGTTAACCTATTTTCACACTTGAATTCTGCAGAAAACACTGAGCTTTAAGATGTAGACAGACTGCGGCAACATAAGGATGAAGTGCTCTGACACATATTTCATTGTTGTCCAAATGGGAATAACCTCTCACATGAACTCAGACAATCTGATTTTCAAGCTGTCCTGTTGAACATCAGCTATCAGGTCTCTAAGGCACGATTAAGCAGTTGTCAATGCTGATCTTAGAGGATACCACTACTGAGACCAAATGTCCTCATCTCCATTTGAGGACTTAACTTGCACAACATATCTGTTTATGGAGGATATTATCAGCCAGATATATCTGTAACAGTGTGTAGTGATGGTGATCTTACCCAAACTATGTTCGCTGGGTTGTTTCCACAAACAGTGACTCACTTAGATGTGAATGGACCTGCGGGTGAATCATATGATGAGTTGTATTTCTAGGTAAATTATAATGTTATTGTGATTTATTAGATTTAGTTTAAGTGTACTAATGAGTCTTCTCCTCTCAGGGTGAGCCCGGAAAGCAGGGAGGTCCTGGTGGCGCTGGAGACCGTGGACCCCCTGGACCAGTTGGACCTCCTGGACTCACGGGACCTGGAGGAGAGCCTGGCAGAGAGGTCAGAGAATGTCCAGCACACAGAGGATCTTAACTATTCATATTCCATGACTGACATGACAGAATTTTCAGTCTGGAGGCCAAGTCCATTAAAATGCACTGCGATTTGCGTCATGTTACATTTGCATGTGTGTTTGCACCGTATCATTAATGCAGCTGATCAGTATTCAATAGGACATCTGGCTCACTGGAGGTGGAGGCTATTAACACTTGATATTGTTCTGTCATCTCACAGGGCAACCCTGGATCTGATGGACCTCCTGGTAGAGATGGTGCAGCTGGAATCAAGGTGAGAAACACAGGACACTACATCCATCACTCTGTGCTGTAATTACAAATCATTGTGCCTATTCTGTTTAAGGCCCTTTGCCTGTCAGCTTTTGATACGCTTCATGAAGTTTTGCAAATGTTAGTGACATGAATGAACTTATTGGACGGTGATTGCATCTCTGGTTCAAACAATATAAACATTGAATTTTATTTATTCAGTCAACAGTTTGTGAGAGCTGTTCTTAAACTGCCTGTAAAATGACTAAATTGCTGAAAATGCAATAACCTTTAACTCAAACAGAATCTTAGCCTGTTGTCATAAATAAACGATTCGAGAGCTATTGGTCCATCCTTTCAGTGTGCAAGAGCTTTTGTTGTCAGATGACAGCACTACTTCTTTTCTTGAGGCTGCTGTTTTCCTTTTCAATGCGTTTGGAAATTTCAGAGTTACTTACTGTATCTTGACATTTCTACTTGCAGTGAAGGCTAAAGGTAGGAGATCCTGTGTTCATAGCTTCCATCTCTTGACTGTTGTGCTCTCTGTGCTGCAGGGTGATCGTGGTAACACCGGTCCTGCTGGTGCTCCTGGTGCCCCAGGCGCTCCTGGTGCCTCCGGTCCTGTTGGTCCTACCGGCAAACAGGGAGACAGAGGAGAGGCTGTGAGTAGTAGCTCCAGTACAAGTGAAATTGTCGCCATTTTCTTAATACAATAGGGTGTTTCTTAGAAAAGTTTTATTGCCTGCAGAGAAGAGGCAGGATTTTAATGAGGTGGGTTCTTCACCTGCTGGAAATTAGCATATTGTCTGATAGCACATAAGCACAGAGGAGGATGTCTCAAGTGTTTTATCACTGTCTAACTGACCTGTAGTTAAAGAGAAAAAACTTCTCCCCTTTTTCAGAGATTTATTCAGTTCATTTCACTGAGGTGTTCTACTTGTAATCTGTATTATTTGCTCCTTAAATGAACCTTTGTGCAAAATTGTCTTGCTCCAGAAGACACATTTGACATTTTGGAAAATTGCATTCTTATCTTAATAATTACCTACAGGTCTTGTAACAAGCAACTATTCCTTACCAACTATTAAATGGACTGTAGGGCACATAGGTGATGGGTATACAGTATGTACACACACTGATTTGTAGGTGTTTGGGTGAGAGCACCTTTTAAAGGGAAAAACAGAACCAGATGATGATGTTAATCCCCCACATATTAAAAGATACTGTCAGTACAAAATACTGCTCCAGTCATTTCCCGAGCACTACGTTTCTACTGTAAAATCAGTAGCTTTTTTGTTTTTCTTTCTCAGGGTGCACAAGGACCTTCTGGACCTCCAGGACCTGCCGGAGCAAGAGGAATGCCCGTACGTATCTTTCTGAACATCAACAGACACGCACACGCATTCAATTATTTGCATAAGCAAAAGTCTGAACACAGAATTGGTTTATCCATCCGAGAGTGAAATTAAGATTTGGAGTTTACAGGATAGAAACACTTCACCAGGCAAACACAGGTGAATTAAAAAGCTTTACTCTTGTTCCCAGGGACCCCAAGGACCCCGTGGTGACAAAGGTGAGGCTGGAGAGGCTGGTGAGAGAGGACAGAAGGGACACAGAGGCTTCACTGGTCTGCAGGGTCTGCCCGGACCTCCGGTAAGCATCTAGCCAGAATATAAAGAAATGTGCATCCACCGCTTTTTGTTACAATAGTCTGATGATTTCGAGTGATCCTTGTTTTAGCTACAGTTCATTCCTTTCTATCTTCATCCCACTGATGTGTTTTTTTTACTATGTATAAATCTGTCATCATCTGTTCTAGGGTCAAGCTGGAGACCAGGGTGCTACTGGACCTGCTGGACCTTCTGGACAAAGAGTGAGTATAAACAATTGCAAAATATTGGAATATCACTTCACATGTAGTGTCTTTAGAGCTTAACATCGAGACTTTTTCTCCATCTGTTTATGTAGGGACCCCCTGGACCTGTTGGCCCTGCTGGAAAGGACGGTGCAAACGGCCTGCCAGGACCCATTGGACCCCCTGGACCTCGTGGTCGCTCTGGAGAGACCGGTCCCGCTGTGAGTACCCACAGAACTTTCTCCACCTGTTAATTATAAGATACAAATGGCAACAGTAAGTCATTATGAAGAAGACCTGAGAAGCAGGCAGGGCAGTAAAGTAAAGTGGTGCATTATTCAGCTAAAATTGAATGGAAAATATCAGAATCATTGCAGTAATGATTTTAATATCAATAACATTCTTGTTCTCTGGCTTCTACACCAGAACTGCATCAAAAATCCAAAGCCCTAAATAACAGCATTGCTTTGAAACCAGAAATGTGGCACAAGTTTGAAATTGCATGCTGCTATTGGCCAATCGGACCAATTTAGGGGCATCAGGTTCAGTTTTGCTTCTAGACACAAATGTTCCATAAATATGAATGTGAATAATATCTTGATACCACTTGAAGACATTGATACTAAAATGGGAATTAAAGAGGGATTACTAAAAGTATTACTCCATCAATAAATAGATTAAATTATACAGCAAATAAAGCAATGAATGTAATTATATTGACAATTGACACAAAACAACAAAAAGGAAAGAAAAACTTCATCGAAGATCAAGTCAAAAGGGAGTTTTAAAGCGACTACAGTGCATTCAGAGAGTATTCAGACCCTCTACTGTTTTCACATTTTGTTATGTTGCAGCCTTATGAACAAAATGTAAAAAAAAACTGAAGGGGTCTGAAGACTTTCTGAATGAGATGTATAAGTTTGAAGAAGAAGTAAATAAGACGTAGCGAGAGCTTTTATTGGCATCACATGAAGTTGTTTGCGATACATTCATTGTTCAAACTGAGAGGGAAGTCCAATTTGAGAAAACTGAAATGAGAGGCCAGATTGCAGAACAGATGGCAGCATTTCCTGCACCTATTGTGGGAGGTGAGGAGGGACTTGTCTAGTCTGATTGGAGAGGGAAGAATAATCCTCCATTTGTGAGCAAGAAATGAGAATACACAAGTGGAGCGATGACTGGACAAAAAAAAAAGAAATGCCTTAATCATGTGAAGTGATAAATATAATCTTTCTGACTTTCTTTCTCTCTCCTTTTTCGCTCAGGGTCCCCCTGGAAACCCTGGACCCCCCGGTCCTCCTGGTCCCCCTGGCCCTGGCATCGATATGTCTGCCTTCGCTGGCCTGGGTCAGACTGAGAAGTCCCCTGATCCTCTCAGGTACATGAGGGCCGACCAGGCTTCCGGAAACCTCCGTCAGCACGATGCTGAGGTTGACGCCACCCTGAAATCTCTCAACAACCAGATCGAGAACATCCGCAGCCCTGAGGGATCCAAGAAGAACCCTGCTCGCACCTGCAGGGACCTGAAGCTCTGCCATCCTGACTGGAAGAGCGGTGAGTGACACCGGGAAGAAGTGGTCAGATTAGGGTGGGGCGATGAAGTAGACACAAGTAATGTGGCATTTCATGTTGGCACCTCAAATTTGGTAAAGTCTGGGAGTGTTTGCATTTGGCTCATATATAACAATATATCATATATAACAATATGTCATACCATTATCTACTAAAGCTTGGATGCTAATCAGCTATTTATGCAGCCAAGAGGGGCTGCATAAAAGGGGAGAAATCTCACCCTAGAGCTAATGTTTTTTGGGGGTTTCTTTGTCTGTAGGAGAGTACTGGATTGACCCCAATCAGGGCTGCACTATTGATGCAATCAAGGTCTTCTGCAACATGGAGACAGGAGAGTCCTGCGTCTACCCCAAGCCTTCCAGCATCCCTCGCAAGAACTGGTGGTCCAGCAAGAGCAAAGACCGCAAACACGTCTGGTTCGGAGAGACAATGAACGGAGGATTCCACGTAAGTCGCACCACGATTTTCAGCTGTCCGTTCAATTCCATGCCCTCCACTCCTATTCGTACTGTAGTGTAAACACAGATTGACTCTTGACATTAGCATTTTATTTTTAATTTGGCTCAAGTCTATGGTTCATTGTTTTCTTTTCTTTTCTTTTTTTTTTCTTTTTTTTTTTTTTTTATAAAAAGAGGGGTCAGGGAATTTATTCATGTTACACTGATTATTGTCCTCTCACCCAGTGTGTGCTGGGATACGCTCTGCCCGGTTACCCTGCACAGTGGGTTCTGATAGTGGATGGAATTTGATTATTAAGAAACTGTGAAATTTATTAAGATTTTTAAGAAAATTAGTAACAGAAAAATCTTGGTGCATCTGATTCATAAAATGTGATTTTACAACAAATAATTTGAGTCCTCCTGAAAATCTTGAAACACGTGTTGAAAGGCGGTTTTCTTTTTGCGCTGTATTACCAGAACAAAAATTAGTAGTTTCCTTATCCCAAAACAACCTTACCCACTGTAACCGGGGGATATCAAGGTTTTCTTGCAGCAGGAGACACAGTGAATTTGAATGTGAAGGAAAATAAAATCTGTGTGAGAATTGGTTGAAACAAATCTGCGTTAAAGTCCCTATGTGTAGGATTTGAACATTTCCAACTTTGGTGACTCCTAGTGGTGGTTTCAAAAAAACACACTGGCTGAAAGCAAAATTCACCTGTACACCTGCCCCCTGCCTTCAGGATTGTCTTCATTTTTATATCAACATTTTATAGAAAAGGGGCTTTAAAAAAAAATCTGAGCATGTCTGTAAAAAAAATTTTAAAACCAAAATAACAGCTTATTAATCACAAAAACATTCCTCTTTCTTACTTGCGGCCTTGCAGTTTAGCTATGGTGATGACAGCCTGGCGCCCAACACTGCTGCCATTCAGATGACCTTCCTGAGACTGCTGTCCACCGAGGCCTCTCAGAACCTCACCTACCACTGTAAGAACAGCGTGGCCTACATGGACGCCTCAATGGGCAACCTGAAGAAGGCCGTGCTGCTGCAGGGCTCCAACGACGTGGAGATCAGAGCCGAGGGCAACAGCCGCTTCACTTACAGCGTGATGGAGGACGGCTGCACAGTAAGACTGGCTTATTCAACACAGTTTTTCTACATGCATACTCAAGATCATTTTAGACCTTTACGCAAATTGGTATAATTCACTTATTTTTTTACTCTCTGGTGTTTCACTCAGACTCGCCTAACTAATCTCATTCTCATGCAGTTTTTGTGAAGTCATAGGTCATTTTTCAGCCATTGTGTCTTTTTTCCCCTCTGTGCAGAAACACACGGGACAGTGGGGCAAGACAGTGATCGAATACAGATCGCAGAAGACCTCTCGTCTCCCCATTGTGGACATTGCCCCCATGGATATTGGTGGAGCAGAGCAGGAGTTCGGAGTCGAAGTTGGAGCAGTCTGCTTCTTGTAGAGAATGAGGGATCGAAAAGAAGAGAAACAAAAAAGTGGAAATTTGAAAAAAATTTAAATGAAAGAGGAGCACACTTCAGATAAAGGAGGAGAGAAAGAGAGAAAAAGAAAAATCAAGACACTTTTTTTAAACGGGACTTTTTTTCTAAGTAAAAAGTGCTTTTTCCAAGTCGAACTCCGTAGGATATCTGCACTGAATGGCACTAGCAACTGTCATCTGTGATTCATCCAGCATTGCCTCCAGTCAACTCGCCCTGCCCTGCCCCATGGATACCCGGCATTCCCCCCCAAAGCCTCCACTTCGTCCTGGGTGAACAGCAACCCCCTCTTACCCACCCCGACCCCACATCCACGAACAAGAAGGAGGAAGTACGAGGAGAGTACGGGAACATACCAGGGAACTAGAGAGAGAAAAATGTGTTGGTGTTATTTATTTATTGTTTAGGTTTGGGTCCCAGGTGCGGTAGGACTGAGTTTGTTGCTAAGTAATAAAAAGCCCACTTACACATATTTAAAAAGAAAAAAAAAAACCTTCCACCAACTTCCTCTCTTGCTTCCTCCTCTTTTCTAACCACGTCATCACTCTTGTACCATATCCACTAAAACATAAATATCTCCTTGAAACCAAAAATCTATCTATTTAGAAAGTGCAGGTGTTCCTATTTCTACCGCCACAGTGTATCAAAAAGTTACTGTGTATTATAATAAAAGTCAATGGTGCTATTGTTGTAAAACAGTCTGTATTTTTTAACAACCAGATACTCATTTGTAGTGACTTGTATATATGTATATATATGTATATGTGTGTATACATATATATACAGTTTCTCAGAGAGAGCATTTCACCCTGGGACTCTGGATTTCAGGGTGATAAATGTCCACTGCCTCGCCCCTCCCTCCTGCTTCAACCCTTGTATGTAAACAAACATGCCCCTGATGAGTTTTTACAATCAAGGCATGTCCAATTTGGAACGCATTTAATTTTTTTTTTTTTTTTTTTTTTTTAAGTTTTCTTTATATTTGTTTTGATATTTTAAAGCTACCTCACACAAAAAAAACATCACAAATTGAACTAAGGCCTTTTCCCCCGTGAATCATTGTTTACAAATTCCATATTTTAGACAAATAATATGACCGATATTTTGAAAAGTTTGGTCATGAAAGCCCAGTCTGCTGCCCCCCATTTGCTGTGACCTTTGACCCCCTCCCCCATCCCTCTCTACGTCCTCCCATCAGTCCCCTCACACAGGGCGTGCCCTCTGCCACGGCGTACTCACGCACACGGCTGAAGAGATTAAAGGTGTGTTTGACTTTGTTGCTCCAGTTCAGACAGCCAGCGCAGAGGGTTCATTTGTGTGAGGTTGTGTATATTTTTTATTATTAATAATAGTATTATTATTAATAATAATAGCATTATTATATTATTATTATGATCATGACTTGTTTTTGTTACGTTTTAATTAATGTAAATTGGAAATAAAAGACAAAACCAAGTAACAGGCTGAAGTTGCTTTTTATTTATATCCTGCTTTGTTCTCCCCCCCTGTTGAAATATCTGGGGCAATGGGTTTTACTCTTCCCCAAGGAAATTCCTTAAAAAGAAAAAAGTCACGCCTAAACATTTCACTGTGCCCTGCTTCCACTTAGTGTTTTTGTCGTGATGTCCGGATATATTTCCAGGGGGAGAAACAGCTCAGATGTCAAGCAAAGGCAGTGGAGAGAGGGATGAACGCGGGGTCATTTCGAATTTGTTTGCCAGTGACAGAAAAAAAACAAAGTCAACGTTGAAGAGGGAGGTGGTGAAAGTTCATATCATGTACTTTTTTTATATATGTAAAATAGTTTTTCAGTCATTTCCTTTTCATTTTAACGCATGGTAGAGTAGAAATAGGAAACACTGCCGACCACGATCAGCTCATACTGTGAACTGATAATGTCTTCCTGTACTACTATTACTGCTCCTCATCTTCTTGCCTTTTTCAACTTACAGTAGCAATAAAAGGTAGAAGCATTTCTATGAACAAAGTAGAGCAACGTTTCTTTTATTTTTTATATATTTGTTGTGTTGTTTTTTGTTTTTTTTTCCTGACATCACTTTTTGATAGTTCATTTATTATTTAATGTAATGGTTTCCGATCTATGACTTTATCCTTGTTTGAGTAATTAATGGCATACAAACAGGAGAGAAAACCAATCACCAGAACAGAAATACATCACCAATAAAAAAAACTACCGACAGAAAAAACCACACACAGATGACATGCTTGGTTCTTGTGTTTTGGGTTATTAGCATCGTTGTATCATAATAAGCCAAAGGTAGTTAAAGATTTTGTTAATGGTAGAGATGCATTCAGGAAACTGAGCTCCGGCAACATTCACATTAGATGTATGATTTGTGACAGACAGATAACATTCAGGAAAGCGTGAAGTTACACCAACAGAGCTTCACAAGGGTATCCACGGAGAGTTTCGTTTTTAAAGTCACAGAATATCCATCTTTTTTTATTCTCATCTTTTAGCCTGTGGTCTACCACCAGAGGCCGGATTTTACATTTATCATAACAATATCAACATTGTTCTACTCATACTTTGACTGACTCTAGTTCTAATTCAAATTATGTGTTCATCCTGAACAACACAGACTTGAACCAGTCTTCCTCTGTAGATTACGAAACACGCACACCACGTTTAGCACGTTACAGCACACAAAGTAAGTTGACCTATTCTAGGTTTTGCCTCCGCTCTCACCAACCCAATTGTTAAATAAAATGGGGGACAGTTATACTTTACTATATCCATGAACACTTAGAAGTTTGTAACTGTACACTTTAACCCGGCAGGGATTAAAAACATATGAATAAGAGCAATTGTCTACAGCCATGCTAGCAGCACAGCGGCACTTTGAGCTACATGTTCACAATGATGATGCTAACATGCTGATGTTGATGTTTACCATGACTGTTAACCATCTTAGTTTAGCATGTTAGCATTCTAACATTTGCTAATTAGCAGTGAACACAAAGTACAGCTGGGGATGATGGGAATAATGTCATTATTTTGCAGGTTAAGGGATCACCAAGTTATTACAATTAATTCAGGTGGGAACATGAATGTTTGTACCAAATTACATCATGAGGCATCCAAAAGTTGATGATCGAGAGATCAAAAACGACATTGCCATCCATAGAGCCACACCGCTAGCATGGCTCAAAACATCCTCTTAAACCAGTTGTTTCCAGCCTGTTTGGCTTGAGACCGGTTAAAATGGAGCAATGGCTACTCCTGACCCCTCATATTAACATCTGAGAAACAAAATAACAACGTAACATCATTTTGTGTATTTTCATCATTTACCCTCCTGTGGGGGTTCTGACCCCCAAGTTGGGAACCACTGTCCTAAATTCACATTAAATGTTGCTGACTAAAAATTTAAGAGAGGCATTTTACAGTTTCTATTTGTATTTGTGAAGAACGACAAATAACCCCTCCCCTCAGAGAATAATGCTCCAGCTCACAGTCAATATGATTACGATGAACTCAAGTGAAATTAAAAAAGGTGCCTGTTAATCCAGTCACGCTTTGTTCCATTTACTCTGAGCTGGATATTCAGTGCACCTATAGTATACATGCCCGACGTGTCAGGAATGGCATTACTCTTAACATTACAAGCATTAAATGTACTAACTGAAAAAAAAAGTGCTCATTTCCACAGCGGATAAAAAAAATCAGTTATACAGCCTATATGGAAAATGGGAGACGGAACCATTTGTACACAGCAATCAGTGCAGAGAGGAAGCAGGACTCAAGAGATTAATTAAAGCTAAACTAACAGCTCCTCTCAGGATAAATGGCTATACTAATGTAATTTATAACAGCGACCCACTTCTGGTTGAGATTTCTCTATACCAATCAGTGTCCGCTGTATGAACACTAAGCCAGATTTTTTTTGGAGCTGGTGGCTGCAGCTCGGAGACAATATAGTTCACCTCCAGCTCTAATGGCTCCCTGAGAGTAAATTTAGATCAGCAGTTCTCCACAAGCACAGAAACAACTGGCTTAGTGACCGTGCAATGGGAAAGGCTTAAATAGCATCCGTGCAAAATCAATGCTATTAAAGAAAAAATGGCCGCAACAACAATGCACAAAAACACCACATACGCACACGCCCACAAACACACAACTGAAACAAGCAATTAGACAAGGACACACGTTTGAGTTTGCAAACTCTCCCTTTTGACCTGATAAACACACTCCACCTGATTAGTGCCTGTCAAGTGTTCATTAAGGGTCAGTTGGTCAAAGACTCCTAATTAGAGCTTAATGAAAGATAAAAGGGCACAGTATGAGGCATGAAGAAAAGAAGAGGAAAGTGGGACTACAAAGGGAGAAGAAGGTTATAAGGTTCAAACAATTTCTTTGAACACATTCTTATTTCATCCTTTCATCATCATTTTTCCATTTCCTCTCTTGTCTTCTCTGTGCAGATGGTGAAATGGGTAAACCAATAAACTGAAGAAAATGCAATAGGAAAAGAATTATTAAGAAAAACGTGGGAGGGGGATCAGCAGTAACAAATATAAAGAAATCTTGTAATCACAAAACCCAGCTGTAAAAGGTCCATTCCCTCTGTATCTGCATCCTCCACAGTCGCCTTACAGTAACTCCACACAGCACTTTGAAGTTTATCAGTCACTCTCCATAAGACTGCTGTTTGATTATTCCATTTAAATTACAGCCAAGTATAAGTTCAGAAACCGGTGCTCAGAGTATCTGTCTCAGTGGGGGTTTTGCGTGGGCTCGGTAAACTCTTCAGGTACTCCAAATGCCTGCGGGCCTCGGCTTGGTTCTGCCTCACATAGTACACTACATACACAATGACCATAAAGAACCACACAAACATTGTCACCAGCATGGCCACATCAGTGGTTTTCCTCTGCAGGCTGCAGAAGTTCACCCCAGAATCCAACAGTTTGACCAGCGGCTGACCTGCGTGCTCGCCCTGCGACCCCGGGTCCTCCCACCTGCTCCCCTCACCCACACCCCGCACAGAGCTCTCACAAATGATCCCGTTCACCGTCTCGGGCTCCAGGTTCAGAGTCTCCATCAGCTCCTGGAGGGCGCAGTCACAGTGCCAGGGGTTGTGGTAGAGGCGTGTCTTTGCATGTGTGGAGCCAAACTCCTCCCTGTTGGCCTGCTTCAGCTGGTTATGCGAGAGGTCGAGCAGGCGCAGCTCGGGGCCCAGATGCCGCAGGGCCCCCGAGGCGAGCGAGTCGATGCGGTTGTGGGATAGGTACAGGTTCCGCAGGTGGACCAGGTTGCTGAAGGCACTCTCTGGGATGTTCCGGATGTAGTTGCGTTCCAGGTGGAGGGAGACAGTTTCAGGCGGGATCCCCTCTGGGATCTCCCGCAGCCCGGCGTCTGAGCACTGCACCGTGGCCGTGTCCCAGGCGCAGTGGCAGCTGTCCGGGCACTGGGGGGACGCTTGGCCCCACAGAACAGAGAACAAGAGTGAGACGCACAGCCATGAATGAAGATCCACTCCTTTACCTCTTCGTCTTCCTCCACTGACGCTGGTACATCTCTCCTCACACCAGCCTGTGCACATCGCGTCACCATATCCTCCTGACACACACCAGGTCCCAAACACACACACACACGGTCGCACCAGCAGAATCTGACAGATTGAGAGAAAAAGGGTCAGTCTGGAAAAGATGAGTCTCTCTGTATTTCTCTCTTTACAAACCCTTTAAACAACACATACAATCAAATGAACGCAGACGGGGGAGATTATTTGTTTAAGAGGAGGAGGAGGAGAAAAAAAGGTCAGTGGGTAAAGAGCTAGACACTGAAATGAGCTTAAACCGGTTTAGTTGATAAATGCGATCAGAGGACGGCAATGTCACTGCAAGAAAAACATCTCTTGATATTCATATTGCACTGTAACTAATTTATATTTGGTGATGGTGCTCATTCATATCATTGAAAAGAAATTGGACTTTTAGAGGAGGCAACAGAGTGTTTCATTGCAGCGATTCCCTCGTGAATCACTGTCTAAGCAGCAGTAATGATACTTTAAGTGATCTAATCAGGTTGAAAATCCCTCTTGTATTTCTGCATTTAAAGAACATAAATCATTACGCATGATTTTCTGAACCTCTCCCACCCAAGAAGAAAAGCATCACATTACACTCATCAATAAATGTTCTTCTTGTTTATCCCTCTATTTATTTTCCCATGATGCCATAGCCCCTTAATCATATTCCATGGGTGTAGGGACAGGGTGGGGGTTGGAAAGGGGTGGGAT